CTGGCACTGGCAGGTAGCGTCACACTCACACATGGCTTCTCGCACCACTTGTTGTGCATTCAAGGAACATTGGAACTCTATGATGAGTTCAATAACGTAGCACATTTAAAACTTTTATAAAAAAACAGAATAATACTGTAAGTCATTGGCAGGTCATTGGCAGTTTGCATGTTACGTTTCTGAATACTAAATGCGACCTGCATCTTTTTACACTAAAGTACTAAAAACAACAAAACCAAACAAAAACAATATATATATATATATATATATATATATATATATATATATATATATATATATATATATATAATCTTTTAGGTCAGTATATAGCACTGAATCACAACAGAAGAATACATCTCAAGGCACTTGAAAACTACAAGAGAAAATTCATTTTAACTCAATCATACATACATTCCTATCAATTTAATATTTTTTGTGTTTAAGAGTTCCATTCTCTTCAGACAAAATATAAATATTCCTTCCATTTTTTTGTGCCATCTTTCCTTGATGTTTTAAAGGCTGCTGTTTTGTATTCTATGGGGTTTTTATTTTTAATAAAGTATTAAAAAAGAAATTAAATAATGTTTTAAATAAAATCATGTGGGTTTTATTTGATTTACTCTACAAGACCGGTGACGTCATGACGCAAACGTGGTTACGTCATTGCGTCATATGCAAATTAGCATGTGACGTCATTTGGCGACATCTAGTGACTTTTGGGGGGGACTTCAGCTACTTTCAGTCAAAAACAGTTGGGAACACTGGAAGTAAATAGGCTGGCTACCGCTTAGCAACCACCTAACGGATGAACGCTGCTGTGAGATGGGGAGACACTCTGGAGAAAGAGACGACTACATTGGATTCATGTTAGCCACTGGCTAGCAGAGAAAATTAGCCGTGGGCCGGGGAAACACTATGGAGATGGAGCTGACAACACTGGCTGCCTGTTAACCACCAGTTATTGGAGACAAGCTGCCATGGGCCAGGGGCGCACTGTGGAGATTAAGTAAACAATGCTAGCTTATCCACCGGCTAGCGGATGAGCACTGCAATAGGAAAAGAGACTTGAGCACATGGAACTTTATTAGCCGTCTTGAAGAAAGACTTTTATAGTAATACATTGGGACCATATATATAGAGCTCTAGTATGAAGAAAAGATGAATGACCTACTTGAGGTGGGCTAGGGAGTTAGGGACACCACTGGAAGGTTGGTGTCCAACTACTGGCACTTACACATTAGCGTCGGCACGGCCCCAAAAGGTACCGAACGGCACCGGAATTTGGTTTCACACAATGGTCAGATTTGCGTTTTCGGTGCCGAGGCGATTCTTTCTTTCAGACCTTCTCCCCAGCGGTCAGACTGGGACCGAGGCAACACTAGGGACTGATTGGCTGGCTGAAATTACGCCTACCGCCTTCGATTTGCGAGAAGAATGAGCCGGGGAGGGGGGGGGGGGGGGGGGGGGGGGGGATTCCGCACTTCCGAATCATTTTCATGCTGGATGCTGTTGAGTTCCGGAGCTGCCAATGGGAACAGGAGAAGAAAATAGCTCTGTGTGTGTGTGTGTGTGTGTGTGTGTGTGTGTGTGTGTGTGTGTGTGTGTGTGTGTGTGTGTGTGGCGCCTGTTCGCATCGGAGCTCTTGCCCTGGCGAGCAGACAACTGCTCAGGAGAGAAATCTGTGTGTGTGTGTGTATGTGTGGCACAAGATTATGAGGACACACACAGCATATTAATAAAATAATGTGGTTCAGAGTCTCACAAAAGCAACACAGCTCATGTCAACCTTTGTTTACCTTATAATGGAGGACACCGCGGTCTTTCCCGCGGGTATTAAACACCGCCCACAGGCTCGGGGATTTCTGTGTTCCTGAGAAGTCCCTCGGATTTATATGTGAACACTACACTGCCAGTTCAAGACCGAACCCATGCCATCCCGCCCGACCATGCCGACGTTAATGTGTAAGTGCCATAATAGTGGGTGGGGAGCTCATCAATTGCCGCTGCAGAGAGGTGGACATGATGAGCTCCTGACACTTTACAGTGTCTGTGTCTACTGGTTTCATTGTTTGTTATTCAAACTAACAGAGTACAGCAATGGAGTACCTGTTCTCTTCTTCATAAGCCTGATTTATACTATTCCGTCTGCGTTGGTGCAGAAACACACAACGCCATTATACGTTGACGCAAGGGCTCTCCAACGGGGTCACAGAGGGTGACAGAGACATGCCCAAGTTTTTAAATATCTGTCAAAAGTGACGAGACTGCAAGCTTGTGATTGGTCAGGACGCAGCTTCCTGTAAATTGGACACCACCATTGCCCCGTCAAAATGTAAAAAGATATTTAGCAGCATACCCAGAACAGATTGAAGAACGCATCGCAGAAAACGTTCAAAAATATGAACTTTTATTCACCCGTGATTAAAGGAGTACAAAGTACGGAGCAAACGTTTTATTTTTGGAAGGAAATGATGGGAAACGTGGGTTTAGAGGCGGCAACTGCGTGAAGAGGTGGAGGAGAATGAAGGACAAGTTCGTCCATGTTATAAAGTCTCAGAAAAATATAAACACATTAATAAATAAACTATTGTGGACTGGATGCATGAGTGTAATGGTGGCATGATACCACAGAAAGCGCTACGCCGTCTGTTGTCCGGGCAGGGAATTGCTTTGCAACACTCCCCAGGTGACTGGTGACAAGGGAGTCAATGCATGTGCATTTCTCCCTTACGGAGATGACGGAGAAGTATACGTATGTATATGTATATGTAAATGGCCAGTATTTGTATAGCACCTTGTGGTTCTACAGCCCCCCAAGGTGCTTCACAATATAATCAGTCATTCACCCATTCACACACATTCACACGCTGGTGGGGATGAGCTACGATGTAGCCACGGCTGCCCTGGGGCCCAATGACAGATGCAAGACTGCCGAACACCGGCACCACCAGTCCTTCTGACCACCACCAGCAAGTAAGGCGAGTTAAGTGTCTTGCCCAAGGACACAACAGCAGCATTCTCTGGTTGGAGCCAGAATTGAACCTGCAACCTTCAGGTTACTAGACAACCCGCTCTACCTCCTGAGCTTCGTAAATCAGGCTTTAGTTGAAATGGCATGCTTCCAGGGTTTATTGCTGCCCTCCACTGTTTCTTTCAGGTTACAGTCAAAATGCAAAAGCGGAAGCTTAAATGTCCTTAAATAGCTACCGTATTTCAAGATGGCGCATGACCATGGAGCATCAACCACAGTTTATGTATTTAAAAATGTAACATTTCAAGCTGAGCAGAATATGTAGAATTGAGGTTGGTGAGAAATACGAGTGAAAAAGGACAAGTTTGTGAACTGGATACACAGAATTTGATAGTAAACAGGTGAAAATATAACACACTGTGGCTTTAACCTCGTTATTCAAACGTAGTATTTAATAACCACATTATTGCAACCACTGAATGAATACAATGTCAGCAATTGTTGTGCAGTTCAAGCAAAAATGCGCATGTATTATTTTTTTATGTTAGAAAGTAGACATCTCTGAAGAGCAGCCTCAGCATCACACCAGCGGAACGCTATTAGCAGAGATCATCTGAAGGGCTCAGCACGTCTCATTAACGAGCCCATCTTTCCATTGATTTTTGTCCCTCCTTGTCAATAACCCAGTAGTTTTGTCTATTCAGGCTATTGGTTGTCATGGTTTGCATAGCCATGTGCTTACACAGCAAACCAAAAGCTTGTCTCATTACTCTGCAGCTTGGTGTTATTCACACTATATCATCCTTGGGACAAAACTATTTATTTTCAAGGGGTTGTAGAATTGCTTCCAGATTTCTGGTTTATTTAATGTTTCTGTACAAAAGTCTCAAATTTCTTCAGAGTGTCTTAATATTTTTTAAGTGGTCTTTTGAAGGTTATTTTAGCTCCCATTTCTTTACATGAATCAATGATCAACTGACAGTTAACTGTATTTTTAGCACCAACAAGGTAGTTACCACCACAAATCTTTGAACTGATTACTCGTCAGGTGATCATCCGAGGGATAACACATCTGCTGAAGATAGTTGTTCAGGCCTGACACACTTAACGATTCTTCTTAATGAATCATTCAAATGACTGATGGGGATTTAAGCAAAACTTGGTCCTACATCAAAGACAAATGATCTCTTTAGCCAAATTCAAGTCATTAAGTTACCGAGATTATTTGCATCCCATTTGTGGCTTTATTTCTGGACCTGAACACTAAACCACGTCGTGTATTCACTCCATGCAGGCCATATTTTTATGTTGCGGGGTGTGTTCCTTACAATAATGATGCGCAATCTGACCTGGCAGAGTATTTGGTTGAGTAAACTTCCTGGACAAACAGCTAAGGACGTGTCAGACAGGACAACCATGCTCTGCTGAGACTGTTTTTACACCTTCCCTCTAAATAAGGCTGCAGGCTGCCAGGACATATGACCACGGTCCCCGATTTGGGTTCTGGACACAGTATCCATCCATCCATCCTGATTGCTCAACACCAATGAAAGTCAAACTCTCTCACACGCTCCCTCTCTCTCTCACACGCTCCCTCTCTCTCTCAGGTCTCCCATGTGAGGAAGAGAGCAAAGTTAAGCTAGTCAAGTTGTTTGGAGGAAACATGAAGACACGGGTCAGTCCCGTTTCAGAATAATATAACGGCTTCAAAACCAGCTGGAAACTATATTTTTATTTATTACAACCCAGTAATTAATAACTTAGAGCTTCAACCACAACATAACTTATGTTTGAGATTAAGTTTCATAAAATAAGAGAAACAACATTCATTTTGAACCACTTGGATTTTGTTAAGGTGTCAAACATTAGTATATTCTTTTGCATTTACGATATCTTAGGAACATTTTAAAGAATAGTTCTTAATTTTATTCTACAACCTCGAATTTTGCCAAGGCTTTTATTTTGAAACGCAGCACAGGAAACCCCTTGTCTTATCCTTCCCTACTTATCTGAAGTTGGAGTGAAGGTTCAGCCCCCCCTCCATCACTCGCATCAGATCAGCTGCTGAGGACCTGGAGCCCTCTCCTCCTCCCATCTCCTACTCTCACTGGGGGCTGCATGCAGGGTGAAGTCACAGTGATGTCATTTAGGATGTGAGGGAGTTGGGGGGCAAGGTGTGTGCTGGTTTTGCGTTGAGTGGTGTCCCCCCCTCCACGGCCAGCGTTGCCTGTAACACAGAGGCGCGGAGCGGCGAAAGATGGTCATCGCCACCGGCACCGACTCAAGCTCCAACGCCTTCTGTCCTCGTCCTCTTCCTCAGATCTCGGGCTATGGCCTTGATCCCAAAATAAGCCTCTACCGCCACCATGCCAAAGGACAGAAAATAAGAAGAGTTGCGTTTTTAAGACAGGTAACTTTGTTGCCCAAAGGTGAACTGGATTGCGCAAAGGTGCCTCTACAGTATGCGCAGCGGGGCCGGGACGCACTGGCCGGGGCCGGCTGCTCTGGTACTCTGGACTTCTCTGTGGGGAATCGCTTCATCCTATCCGATTCCGAGCAGGACTAATGCCACTTTGTTGGAAAGGAGGTGGGAGACCCTCTTCTCCCGCTCCTATCTGGGTATAAACGGAGGTAAATCGGAGCTGAACTGGGAGAGTGACTATTTGCAAGGCATCAAAAGAGTGCGGCGACTGTACTGCAACGTGGGCATTGGGTTTCACCTGCAGGTGCTCCCGGATGGCAGGATAAGCGGTGTCCACAGTGAGAACCCATACAGTGAGTTGCATCCGGACTGTGCGGTGCGTGTGACTCGCTGTGTAAAAGTTAGAAGCCTTCACTTTGTCTTGCATGATATTTAATAAGCAATGTCGGCACGGATGAAAGTTTCCGAAAGCAAAAACAGTATGCAGTCTTGCATCCGTGCTGTGCAAAGAATCCCCCCAAGCCAAATACATGACATGCATACCGGACTTATTTTTACCCTGCGTCCCCTGCAGCGGGACACGTCCCTCTCAGCACGCTGTAAACTTCACTCACGCTGTCTAACGTGCAGACTGAGTGGGTCATTTGCAAAGAAAGGGCTAATTGAGAATCATCCAAGTCGCAATGCACCTGCAAGGTTACACCCACCTCTGCTGCATGAGTCCACTTTCCTCTCCCCCCCCACCCCACCCCACAGGCGCAGCGTCACCTTGCTTCCCTAACATTGTGTTTCATTCAGGTCTAATAGAGATCTCCACCGTGGACCGAGGGGTGATCAGCTTGTTCGGAGTGAGGAGTGAGATGTTTGTCGCGATGAACAGCAGGGGAAGGTTATACGGAACGGTACGTTTTGGTGCACAACATCCTGCTGAGTGAGTTCAGGGAGTTGCTGCATCCTCCACTTCATGTTTGTGATGCTCTGGTGAAAGGTGGAGTTTCACAGCAACGCAACTTTGGAGAATCGGGTCTGGTTTACGGATGTGTCAAAATCGGAGCAAAAGTCAAACTGATGCGACAGAAAATTCTCCTTTTTTATCACTTGGTTTGTTAAATCTTTAAACTTGCGCTCAAAAAACTCCTATACATAACAGTTACATTTCCCAGTTTTAAAACATCATTTCAACTATTTGAGTTGCAAAAACGTTTAAAACTTAAAAAAAAATGTGTTTCCCCCTTATGTTAGATGTTGCTTTTCGCATATTTAAAATAAGAATTTCATTTTGGTTTGTTCTTATAGGTCAAATTAAAGTTATGTCCAGATAATGTCATTTATTGTGTTTTATTTTGTTGTTTGTTGGTTTCACAGTTATTCATACTCCTGCTGCTTAGAAATTATTCTGATGAAGACTGCAAAATTGCTGAAATATGATTTTCCTCTATTTCCATTTTGACTTTAAAGGGGCATTATGGAAGTTTGACAGCCAAAACATGTATAGAAATAATAAATGTCTTCTTCATACATTCTCCTGCAATGCCCTGGTCCTGTAGAATGAGCCCTGGCATTTTTACTGTGATTGCCTGTTTTTCTGTAAAATCACAGAAAAAGAGAGATGCTCGGGTCGAGCAGGCTGCTTCACGCTCAGGCATAGCCCGTAGCATTTGCTATCCGTAGCTTTAGCAGTCACTGGTGTGTTAGCTCGCCTAGCAAGACGTTGGACTTTTGTGCAGAAAACCTTGGTTCGATTCTGGATGTGAATATAGTTTATTTAGAGTTTCTTTTTTACATTAATGGTATATTTTTTTACAGTAAGATGCCCAAATTTTTATTTGAGACTCGCTAAACGGCATTGAATTATTTTTAATCAGTTATTTGGATGTTTATGAGGTTTACGTCCACACTAGTGTGTACATTTTCTTTTAGAGTAGAGTTTTCGAGTTAATTCTGGAGTCTGCTAAACTTTTTCCTTCTGCTCCATTCACAATCAGTCAGTAAACATGTGGAAACGACATCAACTTATTGATCTCACGTTTCTTTCTGTCCTCTGCTTCTCCAGAGAGTCTTCAGGGACGAGTGCAAGTTCAGAGAGACTTTGCTGCCCAATAACTACAACTCCTACGAGTCTTTTGTTTACAAGGGCTTCTACATCGCCCTCAGCAAACATGGTCGCATGAAGAGAGGCAACAAGGCGACCACCGCCATGACTGTCACACACTTCCTCCCGAGACTATGAGAGAAAATGACAATTACTGAGTAATTTGCACATGTGGATGTTCTTCCAGGTAATAAAAAAAATGCAAAGTCATCATATACGCACCAAATGGACTGCAGAAGCAAAAGAAAACGCAAATATTTATTCTGTTTTACACACACACAAATATATAAAAGTGTGTGTATATTTTTGGATAGCTGTCTTTGTATATATGCCATACTGTGCTGCTCATTGTTTTTATAGAGGGGAAAGCTGAAGCCTTGGCCTGTCTCACTTTACCTTGGTGCTTGCTGTAACACGTCACTTACTTTTCTGAGATGGAGGGTGAGCAATATTCTGTGCTTTTAAAGAGTGAAATGAATACCTTTTATTACCTCAAAGAACCACGTTACCAGAGTACGGGATGCATGGGCTTCTGCTCCAATGTCTGCTAAGTTCATCGTTTTGTTCGAACCTTTGGATGTTTGACAGTTCCCTGCTCGTTTAAAGATGTCCTCCAGCGGAGGGGGGACTTAAATGCACTACCTTTTCTGCACGATTTTAAGGTGCCTTGGTGTTCCCACTTGTTGCCCCCTTAAACCTCCGTGTAAAGAGACACCCGGAGGAGTCAGAAATAGGGCTGACACTTCAGAGAGGGCCTCAGAAGAGGAGGAGGGGTTGACTATTTTTGGTTTATTTTCTTAACTCTAATTAGATCGATTAAGTTATAAACAATCTGTGGCCGAGGCCAGGGTGGAACACTAATTCAAACAGGAGAAATTGTTTGGTCAGTCACGGCTTGCTTCTGCACAACCAAGCAGATAAAGTGAACATAAGACTAAGTTCATGCACATTGTCTCTGAGATTGCCCCCCCCCCCCCCCCCTCAAGGTGAAGTGGGCTGGTGTTTTCTTAAATGCAAAGCTTCAGCTGAAGTCTATTAAAACGATATAACCAGTGGAAAACAGTGTAAATAGCTTCACATTTAAAAAAAAAACAACTTCCAGAGCTTTTTAGCACAACAAAGGCTAGGGCTACACGACAAACTAGCAGAACACCAACATAGGTGGTCATCCATCTGTCTGTGTTAGGTTATTTCTTTAGGTCGGTGTGCTTGTTGGGAGATTTTGGTTTTCTGGGCCGTGTTTTACCCGGACTGCCTTTGTTTTCTGCAGCTGCACTGCAGTAGTTAGGAGTTGGGCGCTAGAGGCAGATGGCTTTGAATGCAATTAGGGACGAGTCAATTTTAGGAAGGATGGTGCCGTTAGATGCAAAGATTGTTTTGGAACATCTATATTTTGGTTGACTTCAAGCTTAATTTTATACATTAGAATGTTAAAATCCCAGTAGAGTTTATGTATAAATAGAAGCCGTTTGTTCACAAAGTCGAAGGTGCAGCATGCTTTGCAGACTCACAATTAGTACGTTCAAATATCTTCTTACATATTCCAAAGATGTTTTTCTTGTCTCATTCTTTAAATTCCCCAGAGTCCTCTAGAGTGCATCTACCCATGTATTTTCAGCAGCTGTTAACTTAAAAAAACTGCTGCTTGTTTCACCAACAGCCTCCATTCATTCCTGTATGAGAGGAAGCAGAACTATTTAAGCCCAGGAAAGATGTGTGCAACAGAGCCGACTCGCCGTCTTTGTTGTTCGTCAAACTCCCTGCAGGAATGTGAATCTGCCAGGATGACAGGCAGCTTCCGCACATACCTGAACTATAAAATGCTCCACTAGCCACCTCTGCCTCCCTGCATCCCCAACCTTCACCCCCACAACTCATCCTCTGCAGGCAGGAACCTTTTTGGATTCCAGCTGTAACCTGCAATCTTCCTCCTCCTATTTCAGCCGTTTTTAGTTCAAGGTCAGAGTCATTGATCAGCCTTTGCCTCAACCTCTGTGGCCACAGGGTGGTCTGCAGTTTGAAAAAGGAATTTAAAACATCTTTTTGATTAATTTTAGCTGCTTTAGATGCTTACTTCTATGAATTTCAAACACCACCAGCTACAAATGCAGCACATGTAATTTGCTCCTTTTAAGAAGTGCTGGATTTGGGATATTTCTAAGGAGGAGACTTCTGCAGAGTTCACGCGGTGAACGATGAGCTGAGCCACGCAGATCTGAACCTCACCTCTGCCGCTGCAGGCCTCCCCTGTGATACCAGCGTCAGTCCTGACCCCCAACCCTACATGCTGACGCTATCACACGCTGCTCGCCTTGTCTCCGTTTATGCAAGCACAACGGCTACGCAGCGATGCCAAATCTTAAAAGCAAACAAAAGCTGCTGTTGAGGCTGCATGTAAAAGCACTAATGTACATTTTTAACTATGAGTTACATGAAAATGCTCTTTATTTTGAAAGCTGTATACTGTGTGGAAGTAAACATCGTGAATGCACGCTAATGAGGACTTCATTTGCTCATGTCCAGAGGCGTGTCCAGGGAGTGGCCTGGGGTAGCACATACCACCCTTGGAATCTGATTGGCCACCCCAGGTGCCACCACATTAATTTACCTTTAGTTAGGCTTTTCATTGTCCACAAAAGGCTTGGGGGTAAAACAAGAAAAGCATAACCATTGGTGCCACCCATGCACAAAGTTGTGCCTCACCTGGGCCACCCCATTTTAAAAGATCTGGACACGCCACTGCTCATGTCACCTCTCCAAGATGTCTGGTTTTGCACCTTATTTAGGACGTCTTGATTATATATTTGATTCTCCTTTCCACAGCTTATCCTAGGTCAGATTTCAATAAGTCAAGGTGAGGAATAACTTCTTTGATGTTTGAATGTATATCAGCATGCCTGAGTCCAGAGCTTGACTAGGGTGTGTGTTCTTCATGTGTTATTTTTACTTTTTGGACTGAGCCTCCACTCTATTCCTCTCCTCTGTTCTCATATACCTCACCTTCTGCCTTAGTTTTGGTTTGCTAATCTCTGTAAAATGAGACGAAACAAATTTTAGTTACATGTTTCTGATAACAGACGATGCTAAGTAAAGTTTTGTTCCTTTTATTTTTGTACGTATGTGCTGTGCACAGCAGTCTACTGTATATTCCTGAAATACCAAATAATAAAAGTTTGTTTTTCTTTTTTTAACTGGCTGCTGGGAGTTTGTTGTTTCTGTGGTTTAACTGGATTTGCTGACCTTGAACTGAAAGATGTGAGTCACTCATTTAATAAATACATTTGTAGTGGTCTCTAGGAATTAATCCAAGTTGTACTCTGGGGAGGAAAAACTGACCGTTGCACCATTTCCAGGAACTTGTAAACGATAACGACCTGCACTTGTACTGCTTCGTTCAGAGTCAAAGGTAGAGAGGTGGTAGTGATCCACGGGTGAGTCCATGAATGTTGAGTGACAGTGTGATGCAGATCTGGCAGTTTCACATCTCTTTTCTATCAGAAACTGATGCAGGAGATAGGTGTAGGAGACTATTTTCATGTTCAGCCTGCATGAAAAACTCAGAGTGACCCATTATAATCAGAAATAATCATTAAAAATTGGTTTTTAGTGTTCCACATTTTTAAATCATGAAAAATTAAAACATTTCAAACACAAAATATTAGTTTAAATTTTTAAAACAACAAAGACCCCAAAATACATGCCAAACATAAAATTTACAACAAAATAATTTTTAAATCAAGTCCTGTCCCTAATTTACAAAACAAATGTAAGGTTAATTAACAGATTAAAAAATCTTTCTGACTTATTCCATGAATTATAACTTGTCACCATACTAATTTCCTGCATGAAAGAACCGTTTATAAGAGGGGAACAGACTAAACGCAGTTAGGTTTCCAGTGTGGCAGCTTTCTGTAAAAGATGCGTCTGTTTGCTTTCCTCCCAACAAGGAAGTGTCGCCATCTGCTGGGTAAAAAGTGGAAACGTGGATGAGTGCAGGTGTGCAGAAAAAGCAGAGCTGGCATAAACAACTATTTTAACTCTTTAATTATAGAGCTGTCACTCTTGGTTGGGGAAATAATCCGCGATGTGATGAAAAGCCTTTAGAGGTTTTTTTTCCTTTTGAAATATTACACAATGCAGCTTCCTGCACTCCGAACTAAAACCTGAAGCGGTGGTTTAATAAGAAACGGTGGATGAGTCAAGAAGAGAACCCAAAAATAAAAGTCTTGATTTTTAACCAAGATCATGAAATAAACAGAGAGGTGGAAGTGGTCCTTCCGCTGCTGAAACCCGCACCTCTGCTTTGGGGGCGAGTTTCTTTTTCTTTTCTTTTTTTTCCGCGCAAAGGATGTGCGCAGGAGTGGCGCTCAGATGGGCTTTAAATAGGTACTGTCACCAAACTGTGGCACAACAGAGCATCCGAGCGCTTCCAGCAGTCCAAACCAGCGGTTTGATCCAGGATGGACGTCAACAAGCGACTGGGGATGAGAGACACGATGCTGACGCTCTTACTCGCTGTCCTGCAGGGACTTCCTGTCGGGGAAGCGGCACCGAATCCGTCTCCGTTAGTTGGATCCAACTGGGGGAACCCGAGGAGATACGTTCACCTGCAGACCTCCACAGAACTCAACAACTTCTACCTGGAGATCAGATTAGACGGGTCTGTGGGCAAAACTACAGCCAGATCTGCATTCAGTAAGTTGATATTTGGATGAAAATAATGTAGGTTTATAGACCAAGGTCAGGCTGCTAAAAGTGTTTTTTTTTTCTCTCGCAGGTGTAATTCTAATGAAAGCTGAAACAAGGGAGCACGTGGCCATCTTCGGTGTCAAAAGCAACCGTTACCTGTGTATGGATCAGGAGGGGATTCTGTTCAGCTCGGTAGGTGTTTCAAAGTTATTTTCAAATTTCCAGCCTAAAACCTTATTCTGAGTTTGTTTGTCGGTCCTATGTGCTTTTACGCATCTGGCTGTGCTACTTTTACGCATGCGCACCGCAGTTTATTTTCTAAATAACACTTAATTTCTTTAGTTTGCTGCTTATTCATCTTTAAAATACTTCAGTTGAAAGCTCGCATGTAATTTTAGTCGATTTATCAAACCACGAGTTTGTTTCTGGTGTCATTGTGGAGTTTTACGCACAACTTTTACGCACAGGATTCCTTTATTTAAAACGTCGGTTGGATTTATTGGCATCTGAAAATTGAATAAAAATAAATTCAAGGCATTTTTTCCGCCTAAATAAAAGTCAGCAAACATCGATCAGCTGGGGTTTGATGGCTTTCTTTTCCTCTTTTAGCCCATCTGCCAGAGGGACTCCTGTCTGTTCTACCACAGGCTTCTGGAGAACAACCGGGACGTCTACTATTCTACTCTAACCGGGATCCTGTTAAACCTGGAGGGCTCCCGGCAGCTTTACTCTGCGGGTCAGAACCTGCCGCAGACCTCCCTCTTTCTGCCCAAGAAGAACACGGTGCCGCTGCAGCGCCTTTTGCTGCACAGAGACAAGAGGACTCGGGTTGCGGACCCAACAGACCCACACAACGTCTTGATTTGGCAGCCTGAGGACGAGTTGGACTCCAGGGCGGCACAGGAGGACGACATCGACCTGGATGTGGAGGTAGAGTTGGAGACGGAAACAGAAGTCGGGGATGATGGAAGAAACGTTTCCCGGGAGACGCCGCTGGCTCCACACGACCCCTGGAACGTGAACTTATCCAGGCAAGGCGGCGCTCGGAGCACCGGGACCACGGTCTGATCTCGGCACCATGGATGATTTTAGAGTTAATGTGCTCTGCCTGAGTCCAATTTAACAGTTTAGTCCAAACATCCATCTGAAAAGCTGAATATATATATATATATATTTTTTGTGGGTAAAATCGGTGTAGTTTGTATTGACTTGTAACCTTTTTTGCACATTTTCTTCTGTCTTAAATCTAAAAAGCAACTAAATACGTTCTCTTCCATCATCAGACCTTAAAGAGAGTAATCAATTTTAGAAAAGCTTCTGCATCTTTGGCATCTGAGCATTCATCCAAAATGCTGGAATATCAAACAGGATGGAAATTATTCCTCTCTTTCTCGGTTGGTCTGACAAACCCACAATGATGTTTCCAAGACAGAAGCCTGATTTTTCCTACCTCTGGAGAACTGAGCGGCCTGCTGTCAAACCAGACAGGCATCACTAAAAATAAATATATAATTAAAGTAGAGTAGAAATGACTAGAGTTATAGTTTAAATGTCTTTGTTATACAATCTTAAGTATATTTTAAGAGTTGAACATACTCTCAAATCATCATTATGACTTATTTGCAGTTTGATCTGATAAATGACTTGAAAGAAAATGACTACAGGGTAAATAAATTCTACAGAATATCAAATGTAAACTCTTGTTGTGTGATCAGGTACCGGAAAACAGAGAGAAAGCAGTCTAAAAGAATATTTATTTATTTAAATACATTCCTTTATTGTTATTTATGGTATTTATAATAATGCTTACAGTTACACAGAAACACGAGTTTACTTTGAATGTATGAGCTGGAGCGAGTTTTGCTTGAATGTGCTTTAAATAAAGAAATCCGATTATCATAGGAGCCATTTTTTGGAGTCTGTGTGATGTTGTATGTTAATAAAAAAGCTCCTTCATCAATGCGAGATCTTGGTTAACAATTAATGCAATGGATGAATGGATTAATGGATGAAAATAAATCTTATGGCATTGCAGAAGCTTAATCTGCTTAATAGCGTAATCAACGCTAACGGTGGTCCAACAAAGTATGAGCGTGACTTTTTTAGGTGGTGACTTTTCTTTTGGCTAGGCAGTGCATCAGTTACCAGGAAATGAGAAAGGACTCTTGTAAATGTAGAACTAAAACTGCACTGGTTCATAAAATAATAAATTAGACTTTTGAGGATTTTCTTTTGAAAGTCATTCATTTGATGTTATTGTCAGTAAGTTCCTTATTAAAGAAGGTAAATCCGAGATAATTTTATGCCTCAAATATGAAAAAATACAAACAGGTTTTTTAAACTGAACTAGTTTAATTATGTAATTATATAACAGTAAAAAGGAAATAAAATTAGCAAGTTTACATGTATAGGACTGGATGTGGCTTGTTTTAACAAAGTTACTAATCCTAAGACACCATCAAGGTGCTCCAAAGCCAGAAATGGTTTGATGCTAAATTAGTTAAATTGCCTTAAAGAGCAAGTCACCCCCTACCAGATCTTACTCAACTCCCACTTCCCGTTTGAAAAATGCAACAAATATTGTTGCCTTGCAGACCGAGAGGGCGGAGCCACTAAAATACACACACACAGGCTCACAACGACATTGCGACATCATATGGTACCAGCTAATGTTCTAGGGTTCCTCTTAGCTAATAGCGATGGCAGATTTAAATTCCAATGCAGTGCAGAGGTTTTACCTGACAACGGCACAACACCGACAGTTTTAGGCAGAAAATTAAAATTTGAACTAAAATGCACTTAAGTGCTAAACTATTGACGACACGTGTCTGCAGCACGATTAGACTCGCATTTATATAGTTTATCAGAAAAAAAGTTGATTTGGGGGTGACTTGCTCTTTAAGGTGCTTTAAGGCAATTTTGTCTTTTGTCTTTGTCAACTGTCTTTCAGCTCAACACATTCAACAGAATGGAAAATGTCAACGTTCTACACGTGAGAAAACGTAATAAAAATGCTAAAATGATAATTACCTACTAATGATCCACTTCTTAAAGGTGGTTTAATGGTACAGGAGAATGATTGATTATGAAATAAACTACTGTCTCTCAGAGAGAGCGAGATAGAGAGATAGATAGAGCTAGAGCTAGAGAGAGAGAGAGAGATAGAGAGAGCGAGATAGATAGAGCTAGAGCGAGAGCGAGAGCGAGAGCGAGAGAGAGAGAGAGAGAGAGAGAGAGAGAGAGAGAGAGAGAGAGAGAGAGATATTGAAGGGTTTAAATGGTAAAATGTTTCTGCTCTCTTTTGTTACATTCGACCAGTGGAATCAGCTGGAAAAATTTTCCTCTTCATTCATTTTGAAAATAAATTAAAACCAAACTAAGTCTATAAATATTAGGCATGCCATTAAAAACACACATATCCACATATACTGTGTGTCTTGTAGAACTTATTCATAGTCAGTTTTCTATGACCTCATACAGACACTTTAAACAGTCACAGTTTGACTTTATATTGCACAAGTAAAACAAGCAGCAACTCATCACATCATGGTGAAAATGGTGCTGAAGGGTACGCAGATAAATAGTTTCAACTTTGGTATTAGATGAGAAAAGGAGGTATTACAATCACCGCTTTACCAGCTTGAAGTTTAGCGGATACATATTCATGTTGAACTTGTGAGGTCTTTTACTTTTACGTCTATGAAAGTTTCACTTTCCTTGTACATGTTTCCCACAAATAAAACTTTTTGATTCAGTGATCCTGTACCCTACTCAGCAGCTGGGAGGTGGTCCTTCCTGTTGGTGAAAATGCAGCGAGCAGCAGAAAGTACCGGCCCAGACTCGGTTTGACTCAGAGTGAGAAGAAAGCGACTGACGCCCGTGTTGGGACAGGGTGAAAGCAGCTGTGACACCTTCACACCAGCGGGTAGTGCACACATTAAGTCCTCCACAAAGTGCTTGTGGGCTACACGAATGTAAGCACCGTGGCTCACAACCAAAACTTGGACGGGAACTCCCTGAAGACCATCAAAAGCTGAGTTGTTGGAGGAGATGTCCGGAGCAACAGCTGCTGTCCCAGGTGGTCCTTCCTCTGCAGAGCCATCCTGGGCCGATGAGGCGTACTCGTCCAGTATTTGTTTAAAAAGGAGTTTGAGGAATTTTTTGAATCTCAGCCTCACCTGAAATCAAGGCGAGAGTGAAGCTAAAAGATTAACATGATTCCTGGTTTTCAGAACTAGTTTTTGCATGCTCTTAGTATCAGTTAGTTAGTTACCTTTTGCATAAATATGTTAATCAATTTTAGCCTAAATTATTATTGTTTAATAAATAAAAACCGCTGAGCAATCAAACGTGTTGCTTGCATCTCGTTCAAATCGTACACTTTTTTGCACGACTCATTTGGCAAAAACCTTTTTCTGTATTTTAATCATCAAACACACAAAAAATATTTTTTTTACGCAGGATATTAAATTCCTGGTATATTCAAGTAGGATTTCTGTTTCTAATTGCTCCAGTAAACAACAAGTTAAGAGCCACGTTTGACTCTACCTGGTAGGCTTTGCCGTGTTGCCACAGAAACAAAGGCCAGATAAATCTTTCCATTCAAGAAGCTTCTGAATAATTCAGGTGCTGCTTCTGTGAAACTGGTGTAACAATAAGATGAGTGTTTGTAAAGAAAAGTCCTCGCAAGAGCTTTGGACTGCTGATCCAAGGAAGCAAATATGCATATTCTTTATATTCCTCACCGTTTTTTGACACAAGATCAGATGTGATGTTCAAAAAAACATACTTATAGGTGCAGTTTGTAAGTCTGACAACCTGTGGTCAAATGTGGTTACTGCAGTCCATTTTTAGAGCTAATATTTTACTTTCTCGCTCCCGTTCATGTTTCATGGCTGTTGCTGGTCACGGATCAGAACCAGAAGACGAGTCAGACACAGTAAGCTGATAAGTAGACAAATGCATGATCATGGTGTTGGTAATTGAAAAAGTACCTTAAGATATTTTTACAACTGACTATTTGCTTCTATGTCACTGCTAGCATTGTTAGCTCAACATTTGCCTCCAGCCAGATGACCCAATATTAGTGCGAAACAAAAGGATGTCGTGGCTTTTTAGGGGTGCAAGAAATAACTTCTAGGTCACTTTACTGGCTTTGGTTCTTAAAGCACCTCTGGATCTTTTTGCCTGTTGATGTTGAATTACTAATGCCCGGCTGCAGCGTTAGCTTGGAGCAGACTCGGCAACCCCCTAAGTCTCCTCCCTTTCTGGTCGGCTCGGGGGTCCCCGGAAGAATGAAAAAATGAATGCAAGTCAACAAGGCTAAAAGAGCTATTTTCTAATCCGCTTCGCCTTAGGCCCTGGATCACACGCACGTTGTACTGCAATTTAAATGAAAACTAATGATGGGTGTTTCGACAATGCCTATCACGTACTGTGAGATTATCAGCTTGTAAAAGTTCGTAATTAGCATGACTACAAATTAGAAGTTGGTCGCATATATGACATCACCACAGAATCTACTCTCCCCTAGCGTAGCTGCTACTTACCACATGGCCATATTTATGGTGGTTCTTTCCTCCCGAAGGAAGGATTTGAAGTTTGCTGAACTTACAGCCATTTGGTTCGATGATGTCACTTTCGTGAAGTGCATTTGTAGTCCTGGACTTATTTTCACACAAATCCTAAATAATGATTACCCCCGTTCGAAAATAAGCAAGTTCTTGGTATCAAAATGTGTCTTTAGAATTCACAGACATCATATGTGAAATCCATGGCACATAACAAGCGGGATTAGAAAATAGTGTTTCTAGCCTCATTGACTTGCGTTCATTTTTTCGTTCTTCCGGGAACTCATGGTCTGGAAGTAGATGGGAGTGACTTAGGCTCCCTTTAGTGTAAACAGTAACTACGTTCCACTTATGTTTTATTTTATTATTTTTTTCAAAAGAAGAAAAACTGACAACCTGCCAGCTGGCTGAGAATTAAATCCGTTTCAATGTAACCTTCCTTCCAACAATATTGAAACATTAGACTGTTTTATGATTATTTCACTATAGAATTCTTACATATTGCACCTTTAACCAATGAGCGAAAATAAAGTTGGTGAGTCTAAATAAATAAAACAAATAATGAGAAGAAAAAGAAGTAGATATAAATCATCACTAATCATACTTGATAGTTTCCATGCAATCTTGGGGGTTCAATTTGTATTTGTGCACAGATTAAACAGCTTCAGATCTCAGACAATGATTTGCAGAACTGAGAATTAGTCAGTGTGTTTACAGATTTCTGTCTCGTTATTGTTTTAAATTTTTTTTTAAATCAAATATAAAAAAATTATTTTGAGAAAGCTTCACGTCAGGTTTAGGGACTGTTTAAGATAATTAGCTTACAAACTGTTAATATTTCCAGAGAAAGAGTAAAAAACTTGATTTCATGATTAAAGCAGTGATTTGTGTAAATAAAAGCCAAGCAGTAATCTACTTTCATTTACATATTGAAATCAAAAAAATTAACCAAAATAGTATTTTTCATTGACTTAACTACTTTGTAGATACAAAGCTTGGTATTTAAGATGAGCTGTACATTTGAAATGTCAAACAGTTGTTTTTATTTTGGATTTTAAAGGACCTTTCTGTTCCAAAATGCCCCACTGATATTTTTAACTGCAATGACCTAAATGACCACAAGATGGCAGTGTTGTACAGCAAACCCTTCCTTACATTTCACTTTTTGATTTCTAACAAACACATGACTCCTGGCTTTGTCTGACTCACCTGATCTAAAGTTTCTCCTCCTGGCGGTGTGTAATCCCGACACGACTGACCAGCAGCGTTGGCCATGTTCTTCAGATCTTCCTTGTGACGACCTTCAGCAACACCAAAACCCTACATGAAAAATAAAAAGCAGTTTAGCACTGAGGAAAAAAAAAGGTGTAATCTGTATGTACAACTTTTATTTCTAGTAGAAGCACACACACATCTTACCCGTTCTCTCAGTAAAGGCTCTAGAACCATCTCCATGCCAGAACAGTGAGTGTTGTTCTGCAGAATCACTTCAGCTGTCTGGAGAAGGAAATCCATTTAGGAAAGTACTGACTCAGTGCATTTGCAAGCATCCAAATAATCTGTTTTTGGCTAAAATGGACAATATTAGGACTTAATAATACATTCCCAGCATTAGTAAGTCAATTACCACAGAGACATGAATGTTTGTGCAACAATTTCTAACGTGGATGTCATTCACCTCCTGCATCCTGTGTTTTTTTTTCTCCTAATGAGCAACACATCCTCAAGTTTCAACAGACTTTCCTTGTTTGTTAGAAAGGTCAGAACATCTAAGTGCACCACTAAGCACAAAGTATTTTGCTGTTTAGATCTTGAAAGGAACACAGATAATTGAAGCTTTTAACAAATACAAAAGAAAATAATAGTTGAACTGTTTGCTAAAAAAGATTAAAACTAAAAGGCTGTTGTCCCACAAACATGCCACTTTTTGGAGTTGATTTCTGTGACATGTGATCACTGTGTGCGATCTCACTTGCACAGCCCTTTGCAGGTTACTGACAAACACTTTGCTGAACATGATGCCTTTGAGGTACTGTCCCACCGCCTCCGCTTGCTGTATTCCTGTTTCTGATAGATGTGTGTCCACCCCTTGTCCTTAAGAATGAATAAAAACAGGATTATTACCCAGAGCAATGATCAGATTTTGGGAAGAAAGCATATTCAGAACATTTTATGGACCGTCAGTTACATACTGTAATTTAAATTATAGCAGAGAACCATGAGTTTCCTCCGTAGGGTGGCCGGGCTCAGCCGTAGGGATAGGGTGAGGAGCTCGGACATTCGGGAGGGACTCGGAGTAGAACCGCTGCTCCTCCGGATCGAAAGGAGCCAGTTGAGGTGGTTTGGGCATCTGGTCAGGATGCCTCCTGGACGCCTCCCCGGGGAGGTGTTTCGGGCATGTCCTGCCGGCAGAAGGCCCCCGGGTCGACCCAGGACACGTTGGAGAGGTTACATCTCCAATATGGTCCGGGAACGCCTTGGGGTCCTGCCGGAGGAGCTGGTGGACAAGGCCGGGGAGAGGACGGCCTGGAGCTCCCTAATTGGGATGCTGCCCCCGCGACCCGGACCCGGATAAGCGGAGGAAGACGAAGACGAAGCAGAGAACCACACAAAAAACCTGTCTATTTCTCCGTTTACTTTACTATTTTTGGACTGTATACATTTAATTTTAAAAGTAAGAGTTTAAAAGAAGAAGAAAGTCAGATTACACTAAAACCATATAAATCCAAGCAACACCGCAATCTCTGTATAATAATAAAGTAAAACTGTAGCTCAGTTGTTTCTAAATTGAAGAATTTTCAGCTTCAATTTCAAATCATGATTACACATTTTCACCTCATTTAAAAGCTTTATTGTGAACGTAATTATTACATTTACTCTGCAGTTTTCATAATGAAATCTCAACAGTATACATTTCTAAGCCTGTATTATTTTTGCAAAGCAAGAATTTGGTCTAGTTCACTAGGCTATACATTTCTGGCTTCACACACACTTATTTGCAATTTACTCGTTTGATATGAATCTGAATTCTCACAAACATTTCAAAACTAGCAACTAACAAAAGATTGGTAAACATTTGCTACCTTGAGGAAAAACTAGTTAGCCTTAGACTTACATCCCCACACCTCTCTAACAATAAAAGAAGAGCTAGAAAAGTGCTAATTCATCTTTTGTTGCAGTTCATTTGGTGTTGTTAAACGACATGCATTATCATACGCTTACCTTGGAGCAGTTTTTCCCTGTTGTAGCGTGTCTCACCACTGGTTAAAACAAATTGACTTACATTAATAATATTAATCGTTTTAGTAGCATGAAACAGCATTTAACGATCATCTAAGCATTCGCAATGGGTTCAGCTTGCTTGCTTCTTTTCATTATGGCTAAGTTAGCGCCGGACAAATAATGGTCAAACAGCTAAACACTGACATAACACAAAGTTTACTTTAAAACAACAAAAAATTAAATACAGACAGAAAACGCGAGTCAATAAAGATGGACTTACTGTCGTACAAACGTTAAACTAAACGTAAACATCTTCATCGTCGGCAGCTATGGTCGGCAAGTGCTGGAGATACTTCCTGGTTACGTCATTGAAACGGGTCATAGCGTCGTGATGCCTGACAGTACGTTCTTCAGTGAACATTAAAAAAAATAAATAAAAGATCTTTTTAAAATAATTTTATTTCAACATTTACTACTTACATAATTTTTGTAGCTAAATTGGCAACACTTGAGTGAAAAATTATTTTAAGTAGTTGTCAAAATATTTTATAAAAATGTTAAATGTCACAAAGTTTACAGTTGATTAAAATAGTTATTTTGCATTTACTTTTCAGATAAATTGAAAATAAACATTGCCCAAATATATTACATTGTAGCCAACAGATTCCAATATCTGCCAATAGGCTTTTTTTTTTCTATTTTGATAAAGGTTATTTTCTAATGGAACTGGTTTGTTAATGAGACAATTCTAACGTTCAGGCTGCAGTTTGTATTAATTGGTGACATGAAAATATTTGAAAGAACACAAAATAAAAGTCAAACAAGTGATTATAGCCAATTTATTGAGGACAACTTGAGGTACACTGTGTGGTTGCTCAGGATAGGAGGGGGTATTGGGATATGACAACCACATAGAACAATTACAAAACTCTGCATAAATTGGTACCTCAATAATAAAATATTCCATTTTATTAAAATGAACTAATTCAAACATGTTTTAATAGAAAACATTTTTTTGTTATTTTTTGATAATTTCAACACATGGCAAAGGATGTTTTTGACATAGCACCAGATGATGTGAAACAAACTACCTTAAATTAGGTTGCCGGTACTTTATAATTTTCAGAAGACTATGGCAGGTGAATTTCTCAACCGGAACAAAAATAACATTAAAAAAAACTAAAACCCGTCCAACAAAGTGAAGACCGCCTGTGTGTGTGTGTGTGTATGTGTGTGTGTGTGTGGTGTGAAGTGTGATGAGGTATTGGTGAGAAGGGCTCTTGCTCGGTCTATCCAATTTTAATATCCTGAGGTACAAAACAAGCAGCAAGAATATGATAGAACAAAGATACAATTTCAACAATAAATGAATAAAACATGCTAATCAAAAAGGTCTGCAAACACAAGAACTTCCAGTCCCGCACCAAACGTTACGATCCCTCTCACACGTAAAAGAAAAGCTAACATGTTACCTATAAATTTGTCATAATATAGCAGCACACAAGTGACAAAAAGGCTTTTTGTGTAAGACTAAGAAAAAAAAGCTTAATAGCAGCAAGAAATCTTCATAGATTATCTTTCTCACTTTGGAAATGTACAAACAGAACATGGAAAAGCATCAAACATTCTCCTGTTTAAAGCACTCGTTTGTGGAAAAAAGACATTTTGGCTTTTTGCACAACACCACAAGCATAAACACAATTTATAATCTACATTTGATTCAAAAATTTCATGTGGATTTCAAGCACTTTCATTCATTGAGTAACTGATTACATACATAGGTAAAACTCAGAAAATGTTTTGAAACTGCAGTTCAGAAGCAATAATCAGATGAACAAAAACACTATTAGAGAAGTTTGTAACTCTTAACAAAACTACTAGAAGGGGTCGTTAGGAGCCTCAACCGAAAAAACTAAATTCAAGTTCTGGGTTAAACAACTACACTGATGTCAACGTGTGGCGTGGCTGACCTCGGTTTATGTGCTACTGTACTACAACGCTGATAATCTTATCTTGAGGCATAACTTGAGACAACAGGCATCACCCCCATGGGAATCCAGCCCAGAAAAAAGGAAAATAACTTAAAAAAAAACATCTAAAAACCTCAGATCTTTCATCAACCACTATCCCCTTACCGATCTTAAGGAGCGTGTTTTAAAAGTGCATCAATATTATTCCATGTCACCCTCTCTGCAAAAGATTTGTTATCAAAAAGAGGAAGAACTGAAAAACGCCCAAATCAATCCTGAAGCTAATCAGGAATCTCTTCTCTTCTGCTGGTACTGTGCAATGGCAGAAACATCATAAAGCTTAAAAACTACCTTCCTTACTGCTGTTTACAATCACTCATCAGCCCAAACTTTCCATTTTCCAGCAACTTTCCACATGCCTTCTCTTTTCAAATCTTACAAGAAACCCTCCATCCTGCCTCTGGCTTCTCTCAAACCTTGTAAAAATAACTTGCCAGAACTCTTAACACAGCATCAGTGATACCAATCTAAATCCCTTAAAATGAAAAAGTAAAGATAAACCTCAACTGTGCTCTAATGTTATGTGAGCTACAATAAAAAAGGAGTAATGAATTCAAAAACATGTCAACAGTTCTTTTAGCACATCAGTCTGGAGCTGGCAGGGGAGTCGATAGCTTTTGAAACAGCAGCCACTGCTCCACATCCCAGACTCATTTCATGTCTTCTCTCGGTGAGCAGGCCCAGCCCACTCCCAGCCACAGCTTCTCTGCATAAATAGAAAGCAGTGCTACAGGTGCACAAAAAGATAAATAGAGCTGCTAACTGCAGTAGCGCACCGCTAGTCGGAGACCAGTTTGGTTTGTTACGGCGTTATCAGCATTTTATTTACCACAGAGTGGATTTTCAGATGCAAAAATTCCAATTAAACTCTAGACTGTTAACTGGTCAATAAAAATGGTTAAAGAGTTAACAAAGGCTAGCTAAATATACATCATTTGTTTACTTTAAGTTGTATCTAAAGAAATACAAATACTTAATATAATTATGCAAAGCTTTTATTTTTTTCAAGTATGAAAATATTTTAGGTAACCACTCTGGGAACCTAAGGCCTCAAGTTTTGTGACCTGGACGAAAAGGAGGAAACACGCCAAAGCTGGGCGGGAATGTGGAGCAAAAGAAGAAAAAAATTTCTTAATTTCTAAAAGTTCATAGATTGTCACACCATAACTCGGGGGTTTTAACAAAGAAAATGGCAGCTTATGCCTCCTCCCTTCAGTTCATTGGTTGACAGGCACGAGAGTTGTGCGAGCCAGAGGATGATGGGAGCTCATAAATTGACGTCACGCACATCTGTTGGGGTGCTTGACTGGTCTTGCTGCTCCCTTGCCTTGCTGCCAGCTCTGACGCCAGTCTCCTGCCGGTATTGCTGTCCCTGCTGCAGGCTGGAGGCCAGCACACGCTCTATTTGCTCCTGGCATGCTCTCAAACAATCCTAGAACAATAGAAAAGAGAAGAGTCATCAGCGGGTTCACATACACGCTTCCATCAAAAGATCATTGCAGCTAAATACAAATATCTTATCAGCTCTGCCGTGTTGCCACAGTTTCTAAAATATCTCAATTTTTGGGAGGGTTCTCATTTTCCTGGAATTTCCTTGAATGAGGGCACTGCAAGGACATTTTTCAGTCAAGGCAGTCGAGTTTGTCATCTAGAACTTTCAGTTTAAGACAGAAAAGTGCAAATATTTTGAGACAACTTGGGGAAGTGTTAACCAACTTGTTAAAAAAACAACCAGAAAAATCTCAAGCCTGTTGCAAAAGGTTTGCAATCAGGTGATGTGCCTAAAGAAATGGCCGGCCATAAAAATCTGACATATGAAATAATTTAATGCAAGTCTTACAACATTTTTACTTGGAATTTTGTGTCTCAAATTAGCCTAATGTTCAATTTTTGCATTATTGTTCAGCGCTCATCTGACAAGCAAGGAAAGTATTATGAAACTGGTGCAATCTACAGTCATCTCCCGCCTCGATTACTGCAATGCCCTTCTAACTGGTCTTCTAACCTGTACTGTGTGACCTCTTCAAATGGTCCAGAATGCAGCGGCACGTCTGGTCTTCAATCAGCCTAAAAGAACACGTCACCCCTCTGTTCACTGAGCTCCACTGGCTACCGCTAGCAGCACGCATCAAATTCAAATCACTAGCACTAGCATACAAAGTCCTGGATGGTACAGCTCCCATCTCCCTGAATCCTCTTGCAAAGGCTTACGTCTTGGCCCGGCCGCTCCGGTCATCAAAGGATTGTCGGCTCGCAGTACTTACACCACACTCAAGACAATCTAGACTCGTCATGTATCGTTCCACAGACGTGGCATGACCTACAACGCACTACCAGAACAGGGGCTTCCTTGTCGATTTTCAAGAAACTCCTGAAGACCCTGCTCTTCAGAGAGCATCTTCTAAACTAGCACCCTCCCTGCACCCCCCCCCCCCCCCTCTACTGCACACTCCATAATCACCTCCCTCTATGATTGATTATGCTGCCTCACTGCCACCTAGGATTGACTGAATAGTGTTTGTTGTTAGCCTCAAGGGTAGGGCTGTAGCGAAGCCTCGACGAAGTCGACGGCTCGATTCTAAAAATTTGTCGACGTCAGATCCGGAAGTCGACGCACCGCGCCCACTTGTTGCATCCCCAGGAGTTTGTAAATAGAGGAGGAATCTGCCTGTTTTTCCTCTAGTTCGCCCTCTTCTCCGCCTTCACTAACATCTCCGCCAAATACCGAAGACCCGGAACAACGTCCGTCCACTACTAGATTATTTTCCTGTTTTGCCCGCCTTCGTCTCCCGGCAACAGACAACAACTTCCGGGGTCAGATGCGCTGCTTCGTGTCTATCGCAGATGTAGAAAATCACCGGGAGCGCTTCTCCCTTCATTAAGGAGCTTCTTTCAGACACGAGGAGAGCTGTTTTGGTGGTAGCAGTCTCTCCTCCGTGCTGGTCTGTTTGCTGCTGGGTGTTTTTGGTTTATTTAAACTTGGTAACTTGAACTTAATGTTGGTAAAGCTACTGTTAGCATCTTCGCTAACAGCTTCTTGCGTTGGGATAAGCTGTTACGTTTTGGTTTAGAGTTCATCTTTTTTGTGGTGTAGATCTCCCTTTTATTACATTTAGAGTGTTGTGGGTTTTCGGTTTAGTGTAAAATATCACCTGAGTTTGGTTTAACCCGTAAGACCACTCGCCTCACGGACATAAGTGACCAAAACAAAGCAGCATGGAGACACTCCATCTTCTACCACCTCTCAGGCAGCAGCCTGCACTCCCAAGTTCTACACGTCACCAGAACATAACCAAACAACACAATAAACGCAGTGGTATACAAAATGGAAGGCCTGTAGTGTTTATTCTCTTACAGTAAGAATTTATCAATTTTTTTGAGGAATTTATTTGAGATTTTCTGGTTTTTGTTAATTGTGCAATAGAAAAATAATCATTAGATTAATTTTCTAAATAGTCATTAGAATAGTCGACTATTCGATAAAATAATCGTCAGAATAATCGTTTTAAAAATAATCGTTTACCCCCAGCCCTACTCAAGGGCAACCTGCTAGCTTGGTTATCACCTGTAAGTCGCTTTGGACAAAAGCGTCTGCTAAATACATACATAAAACTGATGTACTGAAATATCACAATATTTCATGTTATGTTACTGAACTGATATTTAAAAACAGTGTATAGATGTTTTAATTGAGAATTTACATGCAGACATTTACTGTACGTCTCTTTTGTGGTGAAATTCAAACCGACTGAGTTTTTACCATATTTGTTCTGATGAACCTAAATTTCGCCATAACACCAGGTGTGTCTACGAATCATCTGGCCCTGTTTTCCAGTTAAATTCATTCTTAAAAACTGCAAATATTATCTGGCTTTTAGGGTCGCAATATTTTGTACCTGTATTGTGTAGGGAAACACCGATATGAAATTTTTGGGCCGATACCAATATCAGATATTAATATCCTTGTTATGGCCAATAATAGATATTTGCCGATAATATTTAGTGACATTAATGCTTCTAAAAGCACCAGATTTTGTGAAGAATTAAAACGATTAAAGCTGAATTTACAATGTTATGTACACACACCACACACATTTACGCTTCTGCAATGATTACAATCACTGTCACATGACAATCGGTTGCTAATTTCGGCCCAGTTTTATTTATTGGATCGATACCAATATGCTAAAAAAATGACTAACATTGGCCGATACCGATATTGATGGCGGATACATTGAGCATCCCAAGTATAGTGATATTTATCATACTAACAGATTATTGCCAATTCACAGTCCTACAGGAAGTCATTATTTTTATATATTTCAATGATGACATTTAAACAAATAAGGTTGTTAAAAATATCAATGCAATAAAATAATTTCTAAAAAATTAAGAAAACTTGAACATATCACTTAAAATGTTATCAGTTTAATCTTTTTTAAATATTTAATGTTTCACATATGCTATAGATAAAAAAATAATCACCTTTGAGACTAACAATGCCAGTCACAATACCAAAAAAGTACATCACTGACTGAGTTGTGTTTCTGTAAATAAAAGTTGCTGAGTTAATTCAAAGATGAAGACTATCTACACTTGTATGCAGACACTGGCGTGCAAAACACTAGTATTTCTGCAGCATTTGACATGCAAGTTGTTCAGTTTTATTCACATGCTTTGCATACCAGCAAGAATTATGTGTCTAGAGGTTGGTGGTCCTGTCTGCATCATGAACAGAACAATGAGTACCAGCAGCCGTCCAACACCAACAACATGGCTGCACGGTGGGTACAGAAGTTTTCTAACACGAGATTTGTTCTTGTTTGTGGTACAAGCAAAGTTTCACAGGAGGGGGTCAGAGGTCCCAAAAGAGCTCTGGGGTCCATCAGGCAACAGATGAGCAACATCTGAAACACTAGATTTCCTTCCTCCTCCCCCAACTGGGGTTTACGGCACGGTCAATCTCATGTGGGGTCCAGGAAATGGCTTTGACCTACTGACCCTCTGAATTTGGGTGTAAAACAGAATCCAGGACAGTGCAACCGGATGTTTTTAGAAAACTTTTCTTATGAAGGAGGATCTTCTCTTTGTCTCCATCCCCCCCCCCCCCCCCCCCCAACAGGTCTGTGCTGAAGATGTGGGAGGTCTGCTGCCCTGAGCTGACTGCAGGACCCCTAAAGAACAAGCAATAGCTCGCAAAACGGAGAAAAAAAGAGCAGACATTCCTTTAAAATGTACAAATAATTGGAACCTGATGGGTTGCAGTCGAGGGGCTGCTGTTGTGACGGCAAAGCAGTGGGGCCCTTGTTACCGTGACAACGTAACCACAAACTAGAAGACAAAAACAGTGTTTCTGTGGGCTTTAAAGCTGAACTGTTGACATCTGTCATCAAATATTGTTGGAATAAACACAAAGCATGTGTGGTCATGTGACGCAAGTGATGAAGTGTTATATCATTCTATAAATGCATACCATTATTACTCCACTTATCCCAGATCAGAGGACTAAAACAATTTCAATCCCCTAATCAACTAGAAAAAAGCAACAACAGTTGTATTCTTGCTTTTTTTATTCATTTTGAACAGAAAGAGTCATAATATTATCCTGGTTAGCTATCTAATATATGACAATATATAGTCCGCCCACGGCCCATTGACGACTCTCAGTTATGGGGCATGATCTTTCAAATAGTCCCTGCATGCTACTGGATAACAAACAATGTGACAAACTCATCACTGTAGCTCAGGAGGTAGAAGGAGTTGTCCAGTAATTGGAAGGTTGTAGGTTGGATCCTGGCTCTGACCAGAGAATGTTGTTGTGCCCTTGGGTCAGGCACTTTACCCACCTTGCCTGCTGCTGGTAGTTGGAGGTACCGGTGGCGCCAGTGTTCGGCAGGCCTCCCTTTGTCAGTGCGCCCCAGGGCAGCTGTGGCTACATCGTAGCTCATCATCTACAGTGTGTGAATGTGTGAATGACTGATTGTGTTGTGAAGCACCTTGAGGGGTTATAGTACCTTAAGAAGGCGCTATACAAATACGGGCCATTTTGTTTTTTCTGTAACATCCTGCTCACTAACAGAGTGCTGCTTGGCACACCAAACCAATAAAGCGCTGTTATTGGACCACTACAGAGCCGTTGCCATCTTAGTTTTGCTCATGAGCAGTAACATCCCGCCCACCTTGCTGACAGAGCGCTGTGATTGGCCCACCAAATTAATAGAGCACTGTGATTGAGACGCTAAGGATGTCAGTCACAGAGCAGTCCACTATACACTTTCGAAGAGGATGCAACATCCCGCCTCCCCAAACAGATAGAGCGCTGTGACTGGACCGGCACCAGATGTCCGAGGCTGCTTTGGTTCCAATGGAGCATGGCTAGACAAAACGACGGGCTACATTATATGCTATCATAATATAGTACATGGTAATAATATAAAAATAATATTAAGGTAATAATGACAAAGGATTATAATGTTAAGATTTTTTTGTAACCCTCCCCTCCATATTTTATATTAGGTAGCCTCAGTCATGATCCATAGGACACAGATTAAAATGTGCTTCTCAAAGTTGTCAAACCCAATTTTGATTAATTTTAAAATTGAATTCTCAATAAATATTTAATTGTAAATAGTGCACACTCATTGCCTTAAATAACTAGGAGGTCCTAAACTGCCTATTGCACGATGAAAAACTAAATATCCAGCATTTTCAATTTTTTTCGACAGAAAGCCTCTGGGAACACTTTCTTCAATGTTTTATGTAAAACAAATTCACTCAGAACAAACTGAGGATATTTTGAAATAAAAAGCAAATAGTCTACATTTTGCACTAAAGTCCAATAATGTCCAACCCCACCTCTTGAATATGTACCGTATTTTCCGGACTATAAGCCACTACTTTTTTCCCACGCTTTGAACCATGCGGCTTATAATGAGGTGCAGCTTTACTGAAGATTTTCCTTCACCTGCAGGGGGCGCTTTAGCAGAAAGTGAAACAGGTGGAAGTCAAAAGTGGAAATCGAAGAAAGTGCTCATTTTAATTTAGCACATGCAAGCAGCCGGCACGACGAATATTTTTTTTCAAATCCATACCCCCTCATCATGGAAACTACACATATGAGTTCATATGTTGCCACATTTAAGTTGAAGGCATCGATCTGGCAGTAAAGGAGGGAAACAGTGCTGCCGCACATAAGCTTGGCATGAATGAATCCATGGTTCGGCGCTGGAGACGGCAGCACAGCGGGAAGAACTTATTCAAGCCAGCTTCACCCGGGAATGATGACAGCAAAACGGACAGCAACACTGACATCGCCACAGAAAAGGTACAGTGGGGCAAAAAAGTATTTAGTCAGTCACCGATTGTGCAAGTTCTCCCACTTAAAATGATAACAGGTCCGTAATTTACATCATAGGTACACTTCAACTGTGAGAGACAGAATGTGAAAAAAAAATCCATGAATTCACATGGCAGGATTTTTAAAGAATTTATTTGTAAATCAGGGTGGAAAATAAGTATTTGGTCAATAACAAAAATTCAACTCAATACTTTGTAACATAACCTTTGTTGGCAATAATAGAGGTCAAACGATTACTATAGGTCATTACTAGGTTTGCACACACAGTAGCTGGTATTTTGGCCCATTCCTCCATGCAGATCTTCTCGAGAGCAGTGGTGTTTTGGGGCTGTCGCCGAGCAACACGGACTTTCAACTCCCTCCACAGATTTTCTATGGGGTTGAGGTCTGGAGACTGGCTAGGCCACTCCAGGACTTTCAAATGCTTCTTACGGAGCCACTCCTTTGTTGCCCGGGCGGTGTGTTTGGGATCATTGTCATGTTGGAAAACCCAGCCACGTTTCATCTTCAAAGCTCTCACCGATGGAAGGAGGTTTTGGCTCAGAATCTCACGATACATGTCCCCATTCATTCTGTCCTTAACACGGATCAGTCGTCCTGTCCCCTTAGCAGAAAAACTGCCCCAAAGCATGATGTTCCCACCCCCATGCTTCACAGTAGGTATGGTGTTCTTGGGATGCAACTCAGTATTCTTCTTCCTCCAAACACGACGAGTTGAGTTTATACCAAAACGTTCTACTTTGGTTTCATCTGACCACATGACATTCTCCCAATCCTCTGCTGTATCATCCATGTACTCTCTGGCAAACTTCAGACAGGCTTGGACATGCACTGGCTTCAGCAGCGGAACACGCCTGGCACTGCAGGATTTGATTCCCTGCCGTTGTAGTGTGTTACTGATGGTGACCTTTGTTACTGTGGTCCCAGCTCTCTGCAGGTCATTCACCAGGTCCCCCCGTGTGGTTCTGGGATTCTTGCTCACCGTTCTCATGATCATTCTGACCCCACGGGATGAGATCTTGCGTGGAGCCCCAGATCGAGGGAGATTATCAGTGGTCTTGTATGTCTTCCATTTTCTGATAATTGCTTCCACAGTTGATTTTTTCACACCAAGCTGCTTGCCTATTGTAGATTCACTCTTCCCAGTCTGGTGCAGGTCTACAATTCTTTTCCTGGTGTCCTTCGAAGCTCTTTGGTCTTGGCCATAGTGGAGTTTGGAGTCTGACTGTTTGAGGCTGTGGACAGGTGTCTTTTATACAGATAATGAGTTCAAACAGGTGCCATTAATACAGGTAACGAGTGGAGGACAGAAAAGCTTCTTAAAGAAGACGTTACAGGTCTGTGAGAGCCAGAGATTTTCCTTGTTTGAAGTGACCAAATACTTATTTTCCACCCTGATTTACAAATAAATTCTTTAAAAATCCTGCCATGTGAATTCATGGATTTTTTCACATTCTGTCTCTCACAGTTGAAGTTTACCTATGATGTAAATTACATATGCTCTGTCATCATTTTAAGTGGGAGAACTTGCACAATCGGTGGCTGACTAAATACTTTTTTGCCCCACTGTATGTGACGAAGCTCTTCTGAGGCTATCAACTCCGACACTGAAGAAGAGGACTTCAGTGGTTTCAGTACGCAGGAGGACAATGAATTAACTAATCAATAACTTTTCTGTTTTGTTTGATACTGATCAGTTCAGTTACATTCAGTTAAACTACATTTTCAATTCAGTAGATATCCGGTAGATATCTGCAGCTTTTAACCCGATGCGGCTTTTATAAGTACAGTTCCATGTTTTTTTTTTAATTTAGTAGGTGCGGCTTATATTGATGTGCGATCTATAGTCCGGAAATTACAGTATGTGTTATATGTACCGTATTTTCTGGAGTATAAGTCGCACCAGCCATAAAATGTATAATGAAGAAAAAAGTCGCACTGGACTATAAGTCATCACATTTTGGGGGGAAATTTCATTATTTTTCTTACAAAATCTGAGACCAAGCATTTCACATTGCAAGACAAGTACCGGTAACAATAACAGAATAAACAACGCGGGCGCAGCAGTGCGCCACGGTCTCCAGTAGAGGATGGCGGTGTTTCAAACCCTCCCAGCGGGGCAGAGGAGCTGAAAGCTGGACCGGAGCCGGCCCGCAGCAGCGCGGTATACATAATTTGGTATATAAGTCACTTTGGTATACAAGTCGCAGGACCAGCCAGACTATGAAAAAAAGTGTGACTTATAGTCCGGAAAATACGGTAATCCTAATAAGAATGAAGTGCTATCATCTAATTATTATAGTTTCATTAAGCAATGCCAAAACAGCATTTGAAGCTGCCTCTTTCTGCAGGTAAGCTAAACGTGTCCCTCACATCTATGCAGAAAATGGACATTCTTTGCCTTTGCTGAAAACTCATTCCTCCAGCAGGAGGGGTGCTCAGACAAAGTAGGAGGCATGCACAGAAACTGCATGTCCTACCACAAGAATGTGGGCTCTGAGTTTTAAGAAGACAATCCCAGTGCCGCTACTCTTTATAGCAGCAGTCTAGCTCTCCAGCCAAGAACCAAAAGCTAGCTCTCCCTCTCTCTTCATGTGATGTAAATAGCTTCAGTGTGCCATTACTGAAGTCATCCCTGTTGTTCTCTAAAAGGGCCTTTTATGCTGCTTGCGTGCGATATCACAATCCCAGCTGTTAACTGTGCTGTTGCGGTGCTCTTGGGTGATTGCATCCCACATGTTTTGACACTCACCACTTCAGTGTTGGTGATTTTGGCCAGCAGGTCTGTCAGGTTGTCCCGAGTGAGCCTCTGGTCGCTGTGGTCCAGCTGCAGGCCACAGATAGCAGCTCCTATGCTGCCAGTGGCAATCATAGATGGAGGGTTCATGGCAAGACGGTCATCTGCCGAGGAAAAATAATTAATGGTCAATTAGTCAAGCTGCAGCTTTGAGTCATAGTAACAAAGTGTGACACAAACAGCATGAACACAGAAGTATGCAAGACGCATGACAGGTGAGAAAGAGACAGTTGATTCTGATTTTCCCACACGCTGGAAGTAGCTGCATTGAACCTGTTTGGGTTTCTTCTGGGAAACCTCAGCTCTGATTAGAAAAGCAGAGAAGGAATCCTCCTACTTGTGGAGCAATGAGCTCCAGCCATGACTCCCCTGAGTCCACATCCAAACCTGGAAGACTAAAGACACAAGAGGTCGGGATGAAGGAGGAAAGCAGCTTTACTGACTCCAGATCCGTTATTGAATCAAATGCATTGAAACTTTAAACTTTGGAACTGATTTAAAAGGGGTTCCAGAATTCTTGACCGCATTTAGATCATTGTTAATGGCAGCTTGGGGTGTCAAATGTGCCAAGGTTTTTGTGCCGTCTCTAACCTGCTTTCCAACACAAATTAGTAATAATATAATGAACAAAAGCTGGTTTAACACGTCTCAGACGTACACACACACCCTTACATTTGGATGCCCCAATCCACTTCAACATCGGCAATAAGGGCAATTGTTGAAATATTGTGATAGCCAGAGTTACTGCTAATGCCAACCCGAGCTACTCGACAGCCGTTGCTGGAGGTCCCACGCACTAAGCTGAGATCAAAGGGGGACCGGGACTTCTCAGTAAAGGCAGCAGCCCTTTGGAATGGGCTCCCTCTGGCAGTAAAGCAGGCTCCATCTTTTCAGGCGTTTAAGTCTGGCTTGAAAACAAAGTTTTATTCATTAGCTCCCCTTAACATGATCGTTGACACTGGCTCATTGTTTATCGTTTATTTCACATTGCTTTTAATGGCCTTGCTTGTTTTTATCTATTTATTGTTCTTATGCTACTTTTATTTTCCTTTTAATTGTCATGATGTCCATGTTTTCATATAGTGTTCAGCACCTTGTGCTTCCGTTAAGATTGTTGAAGGTGCTGTACAAATAAAATTTGATTGAGCTACTGTCTGCACCCTCGTTGTCGATAGGAAAACAAAGAAAAATGTCGGAGCACACATTCCAAGATAGTGTTCCGGGATGTTCTGGGGATGTCCAGACTTTAAATGAATGCCAAAAAGATCCAAGTCTGTCCATTGTAGGGCTATATTTTGAGATTGTATTTGGTTGTTAATCAGAGCTCCTGAACCACTTTGAGTCCCAACAAAGTTCCATATGCTAAATAGAAGCTCAAACATCAGTTTCCAAATGTAAAACGAAAGTTCTAGAACCCTTTAAGATTGTTGACACTTTTTAGAAAACCGATTTGCGGATTTGTTAGAAAAGGAGGTGGAGCATATCAGCCTGGTGGCCGGGCTTTAACCCGTAGAGCCCGGCTGGGCACAGCTCGAAGTGAAAATGTGGGTCCCCCTTCCCATGAGCTCACCACTTGTGGGAGGGGCCAATGTGTGATGGGTGGTGGCCGAAGGCGGGGGCCATGGCGGTCTGATCCTCAGCTACAGAAGCTGGTTCTCGGTACGTGGAATGTCACCTATCTGGTGGGGAAGGAGCCTGAGCCTGAATTGGTGTGCAAGTTTGAGAGGTTCCGACATTCCAATGTAGTTGGACTCACCTCGACGCATGGCTCTGGCTCCGGAACCAGTTTCCTTGAGAGGTGTTGGACACTCTACCACTCTGGAGTTGCCCTGACCGAGAGGCGCAGAGCAGGGGTGGACATGCTAGTAGCCCCCATCTTAGTGCCTGCACGTTGGGGTTTACGTCGGTGAACAAGATGGTAGCCTCCCTCCACCTACGTGTGGGGGGAACAGGTCCTGACTGTTGTCTGTGCTTATGCACCAAACTACAGTTCAGACTACCTGCCATTTTTGGAGTCCTTGGAGGAGATGCTGAACAGCGCTCCTTCTGGTGACGCTCTCGTTCTGCTGGGGAACTTTAACAGTCATGTGGGCAACGACAGTGAGATCTGGAGCCCAGTGTTCATGTTAAGACATAAAGGCGTCCATATGTGCTCTTGGCACCAGGATACCTTAGGCCGCAGCTCCATGATCGACTTTGTTGTCGTCTCATCTGATCTGCAGCTGCAGGTCTTGGACACTCGGGTGAAGAGAGGGGCAGAACCGTCAACTGATCACTACCTGGTGGTGAGTTGACTTCGATGGTGGGTGAGGATGTTGGTCAGACCTGGCAGGCTCCAGAGGCAGATGATGGGTACTGACAGCCAAGTGGAACACGTCCCGGGTGGTCACAGTGGCAAAAATCCGGGTGTGAGAGGTGTTCGGTGAAACCACGGAGAAAGACTTTCATATGACTTTGAGGAGATTCTTGTCTACCATCCGGCACCTCAGGAGGGGAAAGCAGTGCACTACCAACACTGTTTATAGTGGGGATGGTATGCTACTGACCTCAGCTCGGGACATTCTGGATCTTTGGGTGGAGTAATTTGAAGACCTTTTCAAACCCACAGGCATGTCTTCCAGTGACGAAGCAGAGTCTGGGGTTGGGCTCCCCAATCTCTGCTGCTGAGGTCACTGAGGTGGTCAAAAAGCTCTTTGGTGGCAAGGCTCTGGGAATGGACGAGATCCAACCAGAGTTCCTAAAGGCTCTGGATGTTTTAGGGTTGTGTTGGCTGATGTGGCTTTGCAATATCGCGTAGACATCGAGGCAGTTCCACTGGACTGGCAGACTGGGGTGTTAGTCCCCCTATTTAAAAAGAGGGACCACAAGATGTGTTCCAGCTACAGGGGGATCACACTCCTGAGCCTCCCTGGTAAAGTATATTCAGGGGTTCTGTAGAGTAGCGTCAGGAGGATTGTAGAACCTGGAGGAAGTGTTTGACCACATCCCTCTGGGTGCCCTTTAGGGGGTACTTCACGATTATGGGGCACCAGGACCTCTGATACGGGCTGCATTGCCGGCAGGAAGTCGGGCTCATTTCCGGTGAGAGCTAGACTCCGCCAAGGCTGTCCTTTGTCACCGATTCTGTTCATAACAATTATGGACAGGATTTCTAGGCGCAGCCAAAGTGTTGAGAGGATCCGTTTTCATGGCCTAAGGATTGAGTCTCTGCTTTTTGCAGCTGATGTGGTCCTGTTGGCTTCATCAAAATGTGATCTCCTTCTCTCACTGGAGCTGTTCGGTGTGAAGCAGCTAGGATGAGAATCAGCTCCTCAAAATCCGAGACCATGGTCTTGAGTCAGAAAAGGGTAGACCGCATTCTCTGGGTCAGGGATGAGGTCCTGCCTCAAGTGGAGGAGTTTAAGTATCTTGGGGTCTTGTTCACGAGTGAAGAAATGATGGATCGCAAGATTGACAGGCGGATTAATGCTGCGTCTGCAGTAATGTGGGCTCTGAACCAATCTGTTGTGGTGAAGAGAGAGCCGAGTTAGAAGGCAAAGCTCTTGATTTACCGGTCGATCTACATTAAAACGCTCACCTATCCTCACAAGCTATGGGAGGTGACGAAAGAATGAGATTGCGGATAAATGCGACCAGAATTTATTTTCTCCACAGGGTGGCTGGGTTCTCCCTTAGAGATAGGGTGAGAGCTCGGTCATCCGGGAGGAGCGCAGAGTAGACCCGCGGCTCCTCCACATCAAGAGGGGCCAGTTGAGGTGGCTCAGGCATCTAGTTAGGACGCCTCCTGGCGAGGATTTCCAGGCACATCCAACTGGGAGCAGGCCAAAAGGAAGACCCAGGGCATGCTGGAGAAACTGTCTCCTGGCTGGTCAGAGAACGCTTTAGGATTCCCCCGAAGGAGCTGGGCAAGGGAAATCTGGGCTTCCCTGCTTAGGCTACTGCCCCTGCGACCCGACTCCGGATATGCGGCTGGAAATGGATGGATGGATGGATGGAAAATTTATCATAAGTACAACTGAAACCACTTTTCAAATGCTTTTATCAAAACACACAGGGAGTGCAGAATTATTAGACAAATGAGTATTTTGTCCACATCATCCTCTTCATGCATGTTGTCTTACTCCAAGCTGTATAGGCTCGAAAGCCTACTACCAATTAAGCATATTAGGTGATGTGCATCTCTGTAATGAGAAGGGGTGTGTTCTAATGACATCAACACCCTATATCAGGTGTGCATAATTATTAGGCAACTTCCTTTCCTTTGGCAAAATGGGTCAAAAGAATGACTTGACAGGCTCAGAAAAGTCAAAAATAGTGAGATATCTTGCAGAGGGATGCAGCAGTCTTAAAATTGCAAAGCTTCTGAAGCGTGATCATCGAACAATCACGCGTTTCATTCAAAATAGTCAACAGGGTCGCAAGAAGCGTGTGGACAAACCAAGGCGCAAAATAACTGCCCATGAACTGAGAAAAGTCAAGCGTGCAGCTGCCAAGATGCCACTTGCCACCAGTTTGGCCATATTTCAGAGCTGCAACATCACTGGAGTGCCCAAAAGCACAAGGTGTGCAATACTCAGAGACATGGCCCAGGTAAGAAAGGCTGAAAGACGACCACCACTGAACAAGACACACAAGCTGAAACATCAAGACTGGGCCAAGAACTATCTCAAGACTGATTTTTCTAAGGTATTATGTACTGATGAAATGAGAGTGAGTCTTGATGGGCCAGATGAATGGGCCCGTGGCTGGATTGGTAAAGGGCAGAGAGCTCCAGTCCGACTCAGACGCCAGCAAGGTGGAGGTGGAGTACTGGTTTGGGCTGGTATCATCAAAGATGAGCTTGTGGGGCCTTCTCGGGTTGAGGATGGAGTCGAGCTCAACTCCCAGTCCTACTGCCAGTTTCTGGAAGACACCTTCTTCAAGCAGTGGTACAGGAAGAAGTCTGCATCCTTCAAGAAAAACATGATTTTCATGCAGGACAATGCTCCATCACACGCGTCCAAGTACTCCACAGCATGGCTGGCAAGAAAGGGTATAAAAGAAGAAAAACTAATGACATGGCCTCCTTGTTCACCTGATCTGAACCCCATTGAGAACCTGTGGTCCATCATCAAATGTGAGATTTACAAGGAGGGAAAACAGTACACCTCTCTGAACAGTGTCTGGGAGGCTGTGGTTGCTGCTGCACGCAATGTTGATGGTGAACAGATCAAAACACTGACAGAATCCATGGATGGCAGGCTTCTGAGTGTCCTTGCAAAGAAAGGTGGCTATATTGGTCGCTAAATTGTTTTTGTATTGTTTTTGAATGTCAGAAATGTATATTTGGGAATGTGGAGATGTTATATTGGTTTCACTGGTAAAAATTAATTGAAATGGGTATATATTTGTTTTTTGTTAATTTGCCTAATAATTATGCACAGTAATAGTCACCTGCACACACAGATACCCCCCTAAAATAGCTCAAACTAAAAATAAACTAAAAACTACTTCCAAAAACATTCATCACTGATATTAGTTTGTTTTGGGTTCATTGAGAGCATGGTTGTTCAACCATTGTTATAAAATTATTCCTCAAAAATACAACTTGCCTAATAATTCTGCACTCCCTGTACTGGTACAGGTGAGATTTCAACATCCTTGTATGAAAACAATTACCAGCAGTAATAAAAGTGAACAGCCCTCCCTGGATCTCAACACACACATGTGAAAGGGAATTGACACGAACTTGCTAAGAGCTAAATCATTCCCTTCATCACTACAATGACAGCCAGTTGTGGTGGCTGGCTTGATAGCTTTGATTGAAACCCAAAAGAAGAGCTTGGTTGACTGTACCCAGGAGACCATCTGTCCATAGGAGGAGCTCATCAAATATAAGAATAACATCTCAACTCTGTATCAAACTCCAAACATTTTCATTACTGCAAAACCGCAGCAGGGTTCCCTTTTTCTTCCCCCACTGCGGCTGCTTTGATATAACCAGCTACTTATGAATAACAGAAGCAACCACTGAAACACACCCAAATTTATAAATAAATAAATAAATAAATAAATAAATAAAGCGAAAAAAACTGTGCTGAATGGGGCATGAAACTTATTAAAGGAAGCTATGGTTCTAACAGCAAACAGTAAACAAGTACCGATTGGCTGGATCTGACCACACTGACGTTTGAGAGGAATCTTATCACACCCAACTGACCTCCTTTGTTGGATTTCCTTCACTGAATTAAAAGAGAAGAATTGGGAGATAAAAAGCTGCCTTGTGATAAGAGTTCAGCAGAGATTCTGTGTTAGCAGTAGCATTTCGGTCCAGGATATGAAAATATTAGAGGGATTCCTCGTGAACGCAAAGGAATGCCATGAAAATGTACCAAAAAAGAAAGGCCCTAAGGGGACATGAGCCTTTTTTTTCCAGTCTTGAGTTTATTTTGGATGTGAGGCCAGGATGGGAGGAGGAAGGAAGGAAGATCACTGGATCGCTGCCCTGACTCTTTAAACCTGGAAGTTTCCCTGTCAACAAACAATGCAAGGAGGGTAGCTCAGCAGCACCCAGCAGTGTGTCGACACATGTCCGACTTACAGCATGATACAATACATACAAGGGAAGGTGGCTAATCTAAACATAGAACCGATAGGAGTTTCCCAGGCACTTTGCTTCAGCAGCTGGAACGGGTGGGAGAAAAAAAGTTTACTAGAGGCTTGGAAAGACAAGAAAGTGGATAAAACAGTCTGCAGAAACGAAAGACGTCACTCATGACTCACAATGTGAGAATGTTTGTGTATGGGAATATTATTCTGGTGAATGCAGGAAAGAAAAGGCAGCTGACTGACCGTGAAAGTGAGCAAACAATCACCTTTGGGTGTTTGTGAGTTACCTGTGGCACAAAGAGCGATGAATGTCTGCGTGTGTTTGCAAACCATCGCCAGCTTGTCTTTGGGAAGGGGCAGCCTGCGCATGATGTGCTCTATGAAATCGTTGGGGATAACCGAGGCAATGTTCCACTTCAACTTCCCCAGCACGACTAGTTCCCACTCCTACAAGAACGATAAGAAAAAAACATGAATGAGTCAGTTCAAGATCATTCCTAGCTAAATCTACACAGTCAGGGGGTTGATTGGCATGCTGCCATGCCTTCATTGACCGTGAAAAAACGATCAGTCTGTCCTTATTCCCAGAGGAAATAGCTCTGTAAGAAGAGTAGCATTTCTTCATTTTATCTCTCCTCGCTGTATCTTATTATCTGCGTGCCTCTCTCATTCCTCGCATCCTTTGTGTTCATATCGCCAACATGTGACAGGCTGTGCCCTGCTTAGAGGGCTTGCCAATGAGACAGCAAGCCCTTTCCTTCCTGTCACAAGCCTCAAACAGCTACAATGAGTTTGCACTGCTTGAGCTGCAGCAGCACAAACCAAAAAAAAAAAAAAAAAAAAAAAGTATATATTTCATGTTTTCATTTCCTGTCTTTCAGTTCTCTTGTACATAAAACCAAAGATTTTAACTCCTACTCTAATCAAATTAGGATAAAAACTGGGATAAAATCTTTGTAAAGAGACATACAACACTACCTACTTAATCATATAATGATATTTTTTAATTGGTTTAATGTGAATCCAACATTGTGAATTTATTTATGTAAGGCCGGGACGATAATCCATTAATTGTAGGATAGATGAAAATGAACTCAATTTTTCCAACCTCGATATATCGAGGTTAAGAAATGTACAACTCTATTATTATCTCGATTGAAGTGCAATTTTGGTTGTTGACACTAGATGGGCCATTGTATTTATTGTTTTGGAGAGATGGGATCTCTTAATGGTTTTTGGTGCAATAATTTCTAACAGAGTTAAAAGTCACTTTTTATTTATTCAATGCTTTGTTTTATTTATTTATTTAGAAGTTCTGGTTCTGGACATTCTAATGTTAAATAAAGGTTTAATTGTTGCATTATTGAAGGTGTACTTGCATTATCATGATATATTAACATTACATAAGTGGTTATTTTGGTCTTGATAATGTCGACAATAATATCGTTTATCGTCAATAATTTGTTGGCGATATTGTCCAACAAAATTAGTTATCATCCCTGGACTAAATTTATGGCTTAAAAGTAATTTCTGAAAAAAGAAACAAATTATGCAATTAAGTCCTCAAATAAAGTTTTTCCAACTGCTACAAAATTTTGGGAGACAGATTTTGTCTTAAGTGCATACTAGACCATAAAATGTCGACCCCCAGGTCTGATTGATCAAGCCATTTTCACAGCAATACAGTTAGTGACCACTAGGGGCAGGCTTCAACACAGTTCAGAGTGTTGCCCAGGTCTAACCCTCACCCTTTATGAAGATTTTCAAACCAAACCAGATACCCTTGGTTATCCCTCGATCAAAACTGGACACGACCTTTTGACTTAAAGGCACATTATGCAACTTTTTCAATTTTTAAAATACTTTTCTTCCACCAGTAGATGCTAAAATTACCCTTTATATGGTTAATGAAATGTTACTCAACCCCCCACCGCCCTCTGTGGCCAGAATACGGCACTTGTAACTTCAGCGTGGTGGACCGCCACCTGTTGGACTTAAAAAAATTGAGCTGACATGCCTGGCACTGCAGTCCGTTTCCAGCACATTTCCTGCATGTTTTAGATAATGAAAACAGCAGATTAAGTGATAAACCACTCCTGTAGAAACTAATGAAGGCTGGGAGACATTTAAGCAAGTTAGACTAAGGTGTTAAAAAGATAAACACACAGCGAGGAGATCCAAAACCAGAAAACAAAATCACTACACTGATTATTTTTGTTATAGCTGACATTCCGAGGTTCTGCCACATGTTCGACTTTACCTTAATAGAAGATCGTACAGAAGAATTGTATGCGCCTCTATTCAGTTTTGCTTTGTTGTCCATTTTGCTAGCAAGCATCTCTTCTTTTTGTTTAACTTCTTTGATTGAACTAACTTCATGGGTGGAGCTTCGCAGATAGGTCATTTGAATATTCATTTACACATGTATGTCATGTCACTCCACAACATCCCATAGTAAAGAAAATCTCAGATATAAGGTGAAATTTAATTTAGTTGTTTTTTCACCTGTGAAGCAGCTCCATTGCAGGATGTTACTGGCTCTAAATGACCTAAAAATAAACCCTTTATAGTACCACCACTTTATAGTAAGATAATTATCATTATCTTATGATAATTTGAAATCGTGGGTATTATTGTGACTTTAAAAGAAACCCCCAGAAGAGATAACTCACTTTGTTGTCCTCATCAGCTCAAGAATTCAGGAGATTTTGACCTAAACAATTGTTTCTACTTCTCCGAGACTAGTTTCCTTTCATGCAACTGCATCTACATGATCAGTAGTTTGGCATCATAGGCGAAAACGGCAGCTCTGCCTTTCAGGCAGCAACAGAGTTGACATTTGAAAGCTCCCGTGAAACCACAAACTGAGCGCCGTCTGCTTCAACGTGACTATTTCCTGTAAAACACAAATTAGGGAAGCAACTTACATCAAATTTGATGCAAGATGCAACAAGACAGAGCAGGTTTTGTGGAACTTCTTGAAGGATCAGTTTGTGATTTCTGGACTTGTTGCTGAGTTTTTTAACTGTATTTTCCAGTATTGAGTTTTATTTTTATTTGGTGGTTTGAGGGCCAAAGTAGCACAAAATAGCTCCATTATACTAGAGAGATGGCTGACACCTTTTCCACTGATATTTCCAAAACTCAGTTACTTACGCCAAAGCAAAATATGGCTAAAGAGTCCTACAAGGCAGAATAATACATTTATATTTAGTTAAAAAGTTGGAAATCCAAAAAGTTACCTAGAAACAGAATCTAGAAAAATAAAACTACCCAGCTAAACAGACGACAGCGCTGACAATTCATCATATATAGCTTGTCGTTTACTCTTCATGGCATAGCAAATACCCAAAACGTCAAATGTAGTAAGAGTTAAAGCCTCAAGACTACACAGGGACAACCCCCACAAAACCAAAAAGATCCTAGTCATCTATAAAGTTCACCAAAGTGTGTGTTTTGTGCATGCAACCAACCACTAGCTTGCTCACATTGTAAAATGAGCAGGGTGAAGCTTCGCCGACTGTGGGCTCACTTCCTAAACAGCTGATTTGAAAGTCTCGCTCTTAAATTTTTTTAAACTATTTATTTTACGAAGGTGAGCTCAAATTCCAAAGTTTATGGGATCAATTACAGAAACTTGAGCGTTGCTAACTAGGATGAAAATGTGAAAAATGTCTTCAACTCTGTACTTGTGATATGTGATGCTTATTACATAAAAAGCAGAAATTCTATACTAAATGAAAAAAATGTCATTTGTTAAAGTAACAGTTTCCTGCTCCACCGCCCTACTGGTGGGAAGTGGAATTACAACAGTCAAACATCCATGCAACAGTACTAAAAATGAGCCAACACTAACATGAGCCAACTATTACTAAAATAAACCACAAAGTTATAAGATCCACACTGTTGGACAAAAAATATTACTTAGTCCAGTAGCAACAAAGCTAGGTCCTCATCAGTCCGTGATTTTGTAGCCTCATTTAGCTCCCTCAAACTAGTGTTTATGCTTGGGCTTCAGAAACGCCTTAATGGGGGTTACTGTAGCTTCTCACTAACCAATCAGAATGGGCATAGAAATATGTTATTTTCCCTGCTACGTTTGTCAAAATAAAAGTCTACACTTTAGCCCCATTCCCACCTGTACCGGGCCGGGCAGCGTAGGTTGTTTACATATCTGGGTGGCCTGGAATTTTCCCGGGCCAACCAAGGCTCATTCTCAGCCCTCTTCTCGAGGGGGTCTGCTTCAGGCCAACCAGGGCCAACACACCCACTGCTGACAGCAAATTCAAACCTTCCATTAGAGCAAGCCTCTGATTGGTGGGTAGAATCAGCCCACGTGGGCTTAAGGCATGCTCAATTCATTATCATTCATTATCATGCTGATTACCCAGAAGCTGAAAGTGTCTCTGACTGCATTCCTTGCATACCTAAGCAAGGATGTGTGGAAACAACCGGGCCAGGCTGGGGCAGACTGGGGCTACCCGGCCTGGGCCGACCCATATTAACAATCTCCATTCAAACTAGCTTGTTTTCTCTTTCTAAACAACCGAACCGGAACTCTCCACACAACCGGCCAAGAACACCCCCTTCAACATAAAGTCCAACCATAAGAAATCGTAACCCGGTACACCAGGAGTGGGGAACCCTGGTCCTCGAGGGCCGGTATCCTGCATGTCTCGCTTTGCTCCAGCTTGTTAATCACCTGCTGATTGAAATCAGGTGCAATGATGCAGGGTTGAAACTAAATTACGCTGGACAGCGGCCCTTGATGTATGGCGTGGTATGGGGGCCAAAATTAAGACTACTGCCCAGCAGCAGGAGGCTATATAAATTCCGAAGCAAACTACTGATCTGATTAATGATTAGCTGGCGCCGGTAACTGAGAGGCTGGCGCTGCTTACTGAGAAATAGCACCTTTACCGGCGTTACTAATAGATACGCTAGGGACTAGCAGCCCTCGGCTGGTCATTGACTGGTTCACACACTCCCTCTGCTGTCTATTAGCATGGATAGGCTAGCGTTAGCCTGGATGGGCTGGTGTTAGCATTGGAGAGGCTAGCCATTAGCGTGCCTAGGCTGGCCACTAGCTGAATTTCCTACCCCCTTGACGGACCATTAGCATGGATAGGCAAACAATAGCATTGGAGAGGCTAGCCATTAGCGTGCTAGGCTGGCCACTAGCTGACTAGTGACTCTCTGAGACATGCAAATGGCTAGCCTCTCCTATGCTAATGCCAGCCTATCCATGCTTAAGGTCCGTCAAGGGCGTAGAAAATCCAGCTAGTGGCATGCCTAGGCACGCTAATGGCTAGCCTCTCCGATGCTAACGCCAGCCTATCCATGCTAATGGTCCATCGAGGAGGTAGGAAATCCATCTAGTGGCCAGCCTAAGCACGCTAATGGCAAGCCTCTCCAATGCTAACACCAGCCGGTCCAGGCTAACGTTAGCCTATCCATGCTAATAGAGAGCAGAAGGAGTGTGTGAACCAGTCAATGACCAGCCGAGGGCTGCTAGTCCCTAGCGTATCTATTAGTAACGCCGGTAAAAGTGCTATTCCTCAGTAAGCAGCGCCAGCCTCTCAGTTACCGGCGCCAGCTTATCATTAATCAGATCAGTAGTTTGCTTCAGAATTTATATAGCCTCCTGCTGCTGGGCAGCAGTCTTAATTGTGGCCCCCATACTGCGCCATATTGATGGACCAGGGTTCCCCACCCCTGCGGTATACTATTGTAAAACGATATAGGAATATATAGCCATATTTGCACACCTATACTAATATCGTAGTTTGAAATTAATTTACATATGATGAAGCGTTAAAATTTTACTATATTTTGAAAAGCCACTGGCTTCTTCCCGTCTAGCTGCAGTTCTTCGGGTGCACTTCAGATGTGAGACAGTCCAGTAGAGGAGAAAAGTCTGTGTCACGTCTTATTGATAGTCTCCCATTTCGAGTTAATTCCTTGTTTCCCGTTTCAAGTTTAATAATTGTATAAACTGCGGATAAAGCAGGTTTGGGTTCGGAGAGCGTTGAGCGCTCACAGCAAAACAACACAAAATGAAAGGGCAGGGTGAGCACAGATGATCAGAAACTGTATAAAAAAGATGGAGAACAGATAGATGAGCGGAGAAAATGTCTTATTTTGAAACATCAGAGGTGAAGTAACATTTCAGGAGCGAATAAGAAGGGGGCGTTCCCATGTACAAACCAAAACGCCCCTTTTAGCGGCTGGCCGGATTATATTGGTTGGCCACGCCAATGTTGATACTGGTTTTAGCTCTTTGCTCCAACGTTACGTTTCTACTTTTACGTCCAGGCTCCGCCATAATGCAAACAAAAAAGCAAACTTTTTTTTTCCCTACTTTTTGCGGGGTTTTTTGTGACGGTCAGGGAACTGACAAAGCTAACTGCTAGCTTTTATATTAGCTACCAGTTCAGAAAATAGCAAACAGTCGTTAAGCGGGTTAAACCTAATTTATACTTCTCCGTATGAGTCAGAACGGACACACGCAATGCCATTGTTTGTCTTGTCAAGTGAGCTCCGACAGGCTCGCAAGAAGGGACGGAGTTGAGCTCTCCTTTTCTAAACATCCGTCCGTCGAGACTGAGAGCGCAAGCTTGTGATTGGTCAAGACACTGTTGTCGTCGACAGTGCCGCCATTGCACCCTCAAAAACAGAGAGCCGAGGTTATCTAGCGGCAGACACGAAGAAACTTTAAGAATTCCTCGTGGACAAACTAAAAATGTGAACATTTTATTCTCCCATGACTGGAGGAGTAAAAAGATATGCAGCAAGCATTTTATTCGGGGACAGAAATAGAGAAATGTGAGTTTAGAGGTGGCGGGCGCATGAAGAGGAGGAGGAGGGACAAAATTTTCTGCGTTAAAAAGTCTCTTAAGTACGAAAAAACACAATATAAACACACTATCTGGGACTGGATAGATGACAGGATAGCCCAGAACACTGCTACGCCCTCTGTTGTCCTGGTGGGGAATTGCTTTGAAACACTCCTCCAGGAGATGGAGAAGTAAGAAGCAAATTACCTCCGTCCGTCCGTGCGTGTCTCTCCCTCATGGAGCAGACGGAGAAATATAAATTAGGCTTTAGGAGTGCTCCCCAGGACAGCTACCCGCTCCACACAACTGTTAAGTGCTGTTTCTAGTCAGCAGAAGGCTACAGAGTGTTGTCCCGTGTGAAGTTGGTAAAGTTTCTTTTAACAAAATCACTGAACCAGACTTTTAAAAGTACCGGTTTGGTTTAAGTATTAAAAACAGCTTAGTGTTGCTTGAACTTACATTTAGGTACTGCTGAAACAAACTGGATTTAAGATGTACAATAAAATCTACCTGCAGTCTGACCTTTACATAAATCTGTTGCCTAAAACTTGTTCCGTTTTTCTGGACTTCTGCTAAACAAGCAAATTCAAATATAGAATTTGCTGCATATAATTTCTAACTGATCCATAGCTTATTCTGCATTGCTGGCACTAGGTGGCATCTAACGCCTCTGCAGTCCACATGGACCTGCAGAAAGAATGTGCCTGTGTTGAGCACGGTTTCACTTATAAGGAAAATGGGATCCTTCCTGTGAGACTGATTCATCTATCAGCGTTGCAAAATATCCCAAAATGTGAGGCTTTGTGCTTCTGTGAGTGGAAAGATGGACGAGCGAGTGAATGAATGGGACGTCTGAAATTCCAGCTCTTACCAGCAGTTCTCGTGGTGTGATGGAGTTGTCTGTGTACATGCAGAGTTTCTCTGCTGTTATGGGCCTACAGTCTTTTAACTTGGAGGCCAGGAACATGCACACGGCTCCCAAAAGCTGCAAAAGACTTTTTCTTGTGGGCATCACTGCTAAAACTCTGTCCAAATAATTAATGGCTAAAGGGAAGACATCTTCATTACTGTGCTCCTCCTCACACACCTGGAAAAAGAAGACAAAAACAGGAATTTAAAAGTGAAAGCTGCACATAAAAATATCTCTTTGTCTAAGGTGGCCAGACTGAATAATAGTTCAAATGAAGATTTTACAAGAATAGCAGCAATTTTCCCCGTGCATCTATTAAGATAACTTCCTACTGAACTCATTTCTTTCTGCTTTGACTTATTTTTTAAAGGTTAAAACACAAATATTCACTTCGCCTTATTTATAAAATTAAAAATCAAAGTAGAAAGAAATTTGTTCAATAGGAAGTTATTTAACAACCCCCTCCCGTATTTCAAATCCTTTCCTCGTTGAGGTTCTCCTTGTTAAAAATATCACCTTTTTTTGTGATCAAAACTGAAAGCGGCTTTAACAGCCACGCTGCATGTCTCGCTCCTGTACTTTAGCCTGATTTAAAAATTAATAATAATTATTCTGGAAGGAAAATGTCGGATTTTCGATCACGTAAATTAAGAACGGGACTTCCGCTGTCGCCTGAGCTAGCTAATTAGCTAAAAATGCCGACACATTAGCAGTAAAGCAATGTAAATAACTAGCTAGGTTCATTGAATTTTCGCCTCGGAGGAATTTCCGACTCCCCCACGCCTTTTGTGACTCATTCTCATACAATTGTGAGGCAGGTTAACATCCATTATGACCTTTGTAAACTTAAAAACCCCGTTTAAAACTACATCTAGTTCAAAGACAACATAAATGCACACAATGAAAATAAGATACAACACGCATTAGCTTAAGATGTTAGCACACAAGTCCCAACAAACCTCATGCATCCAACCTGCAACCATTCGTCTCATATAAGGCTGGATATCCTTCTGCACCCGCTGAAAATATGAACATTGCGGTAAAAAATTGTCTTCAATAGTTAATAAACTTTGCAACACTCTGTCATCATAGAGGATGTTTGGGTCATGCTGGGCTTTCACGATTATGTCCGACTCCAGGCAATAAAGCTCCATGGCTCGGGCCCCTTTTCCCCACTTTTCTGCAGTTTTTGTTACAAAATAATAAATGTAGAAAAACAATAAATATTTTCACAATAGTTTAAACAGCGGACAGGAGGAGCAGAAGTCCACAGGACGAAGCATGAGGCTGAGACAACGAGGCTGGGTCCACTCCTGCCGCTCGAGCAGCTCCTTCCAGTCTGCGTGACAAAGCTGATGTGACGCAAGGCATATCCGGTACGTTGCCTTTCAAAATAAAGGCTGATCTGTTCACCTTACTTCCGGTCAAAATATAACAACAGTAAAACAGTAACGTAAAATGTATATTAAATAATATTAAAATTTACAACTGGTATGTCCTTGGACAAGACACTTATCTCGCCTTGCGTGCTGGTGGTGGTCGGAGGGACAGGTGGCACCTCTGTGTGCCCCAGAGCAGCTGTGGCTACATCGTAGCTTATCACCACCAGTGTGAATGTGTGATTGAATGGGTGAATAACTAATTGTGTTGTGAAGCGCCTGTGGGGTTGTTGAACCATAAGAAGGCACTATACAAATACAGGCAATTTACCATTTATTAATGTTATTACTTTGTTACTACTGTAGCCTACATATTGTAGAATATTAACTAGTATTATTAGAAGCAGATGCCATGCACAATCAACTCTAACAACCCATAACTTTACAGAGAGTAACAAACATCTCATTAATTTAACAAGAACTGTAATAAAAATTATAACAGCACTGCATTGCAGACAACTCATTTACAGTTGTAACAGTTGTAAAACGTTTTTAGGAAATAGGAAAAAAACTTGGTCAGAGGCTGAACTGGAGTTTATATCAAGATTCCTGCAGTATAGAAAAAAGGAAAATGTCAAATTCTTAGAGTAAAAGTTGCAGAATGTGTACAGTATATGCAGTTTGACATAAATCACCTCTTTACACTGTCTGCTAATAAACTCGTAAATCTCCAACCCAGCTGGTCCAACGTATTTGACAACCCCTCAATAAATCAGGGGGTGAAAAAATGACACAAGTTCTTTAACAAATATTCTGCCTCAAAACACCAGCAAGCTGTTGCTAAAAAAGTGCTGTGAGGCATTAGAAGGGAAAAATCCCAAACATTTTGACTTTTAGATCCCACGCTGCTAATTCACTCATTTTTCATAGGACTTGTCTTCAGGATGGTGGAAAAAAACAACTGCATTTATGTAGGGGGATATCTTTCACGTCCATGGTTTTCTTTTCCTCTGTTAAATGATTCAGATGTTCTTCTTGTTCCTTTGATAGTTGAAATATAATGACTTAAGATATTTAGCTATGCTTTATGTGTTTAGCTGCATGTGCTAAATATGTGTAGAAAATATCGTTTGTGAGCAAATTTAACACATTGCTGCAAACATTATCAGTGTGCATTTAACCTTTCTTTGTATTTGTTATTTTAATCACAGATTTACAGTTTTACAATCTTCCTTGTGTGACCTATTTGAAGCGAATTCAGTTACAGCACTTCCACATGAGGAACAGGCCACCGGATACAACGTGATATTGCTGACATCCTTATGTCAGTGGGTGTGGACAGCATGTTGATCTCTGTCCAAAGAAAAAAATTCCATAAAGGAAGTCCTTTATAGCGTGGCAGCGTGCACAAGAATAGGCTTCCAGCACGGCATTGATGCCTATCTGCAAGTGTTTGTAAAATGATAAGAATATAATAGAAGAGGGAGGCCATTTAAATCTTGTTTGTTTGCAACTGTGAAAGGAAAATTATCATCAAAATGTGCACAAAGACAGTTTTCGGAATCTAGACCTAGCATCTGTGATCAAGTGATTTTACTGAATAAACAAACGTTGAGTCTGGTTAAACAAGAGAAGCTGAACTGAGTCACATCTCAAACTTCCTCCTTTCACAGCTGCCACCAAGTAACTGAATGAGATATGGAGTTTCATTGAGAAAAACACACACACACACACACACACACGCACGCACGCACGCGCGCACACACACACACACACACACAGAGAGAGAGAGAGAGAGAGAGAGCACTGTGAAGCTATTATGAGAGCAGACTGAGAATGGGAACTATCTGTGAGGGAATGATAGAGTTAGCAAGATTAGTTCTGCTCCAAAAGAAGGGGTTTCTTTCAAACGATTCATTAAACAGCTGAGGTTTAATGTCGGGTTATCCATATGACAAGCTGCTGGGTGAAAGTTATGGTCTAGTAGGGGGGTTTATTCATTCTGCGAAGGGCCAAGGAAGCCTACCACGCCAGACAGGGGAAGCAAATACACTTGAGGGAAACCGAGGTGTTCGTTAGATAAAAAGCAGCCTTGCCCTGATGTTGCTGTTTGTGCATGTGTCCTGTGATAACACGTCAGCTGCTATCACACGTTACAAGCTGCACAGAGGTAACAGAGAGGGCCCAAAGCCCTGGGAAAACGTGGAGTAGCGTGAAATCACCTTGATCCAAAGATTCCTGCTGCATACCAGTCTACTGAACCCACCAGAGGCTCAGGGGCCCGCAGATAGGCGCACTGCCATAGATCAAAAGAAAGACACAAAGAAAGAGGGAAAGATGGAGAGTGAGAGTCATCATCCATAATCCCAAACCTTTGGTTTGAATCTTAAATTATATTATCTACAATACTGAATACTGAATATTTTCTTTAATTTTTCTTCCAGGGACCAAGATTTCTTTGTGATCTTTTGAAGCAGTCTTGATAAACAGTTTCCCAGGCTCTCTGAAGGTCTTCTGAAGTTTTTCTTTGGACTTTGGTTGCGTTGTCACCATGTGCAAGAAGAAAATGAAGCAAGTAGAGCTCAGAAGTTTAAAGCTGTAATAGCAAATTTGGAAAACAAATTAGAATAAAACTTTTTTCAACGCCTCTTAACATTTTAACATAGTATAGCCATAAATATTTTTTGGAGATTAAAAGTAAAACAAACAAAAATTAATGAAGTGCTTCTCTCGCATTTACCTAAAAACCTCTGCCAATTACAAGTTTTGGACCGAACATAACCGCTGGACCATCTGGTTGACGGTCTTGCCGAACCGCCCTGCATCCTCCACTCATGTATTTAGCAACAGAACACCACTGGTGTGAGAGGTTCTCCACTCAGTAACATCAGAGAAGGAGAAATCACTTTTCTTTAGGACAAACTATCAGAATCCCAAAAAGAAAAACACCATTTGAAGTCACGGACAACATAAAACATTTTGACTTAGAAAACGATGACTGGTATTTAGAGCTAGCTCTTTTTAGAAGACACACCATGCCTGCAAATCAGAAGTAATACTGCTACCTTGGTGTGTCTTATGAACGTACAGTGGCGGCATGGTGATGCGTGAATTTTGCGACATTCGTTCCGCCAACCTTGGTAGTAATATTGCCAAAACGCTCTGTTAGTAGTGATGGAATCCTTGAAAGAAGCTAGTGCAACTGCCAAATCCTCAGTGCTTATCCTGCTCGACTTATCGCTGCATTTGACACTGTCAACCATGGCTTCCTTTTGTCCACACTCTCTAGCATGGGCATCACAGAGAAAGCACATGCCTGGTTTGAATCTTACCTCACAGGACGATCATTCAGTGTATCTTGGCTTGGACAATCCTCTACTGTGCACCGTCTTGCTACAGGAGCCCCCCAGGGCTCTGTACTAGGACCTCTTCTCTTTGCCATATACACCACCTCACTGGGTGAGATCATTCGATTACATGGCTTCTCCTACCACTGCTATGCAGACGACAAGTATCAGGCATTAGAGTAGCTATTCCTGGTAGCTCAACTGACACTGTTCCAGTTCCTCCATCACCACCCACCCTGAGCTCCCTCAATACTGTTTCATATTCTGAGCTGAGTAAGCTTGTTGCGAGGCAGACGCCATCTGGCTCTCCACTTGACGTTCTGCCGCCTCGTCTCTGGAAGGCTGCCTTTCCGTGTCTTGGCCCTTCACTTGGTCAGATTATCAATGGGAGCCTCAGCACAGGTGTTGTCCCAGCTGCTTTGAAAGCAGCAGTTATTCGGCCGACCCTGAAGAAACCTGGTGCTGATGTCTCTGTGATCGCAAATTACAGGCCTATCTCCACCCTGCCTTTTACATCAAAACTGCTTGAGAAAGTCGTTTATCAGCAGCTGGTCTCACATTTATCTGTTTGAGGTTTTTAAGTCAGGGTTCAGGTCTGGCCATAGTACAGAGTCAGCTCTACTGAGGGTCCTAAATGACATCTATCTATCACTAGATCAGGGTACATCTGTGGTGCTTCTGTTGTTAGATCTGACGGCAGCCTTTGACACAGTCAACCACGCAATTCTACTCGATCGCTTGGAACGATGGGTTGGGATCAAAGGGTCTGCTCTGGCTTGGTTTAGATCGTATCTCCACAACAGGACATTCTGCATTAAACTGGGTGATGTTTTTTCATCTTGGGAGGGGCTCCGCTGGGGGGTCCCGCAGGGATCGATGCTTGGTCCTCTTTTGTTTGCCATTTATCTGCTTCCTCTGGGGTCAATCTTTCGTAAACATGGCCTATCATTCCATCTCTATGCTGACGATTGCCAGATTTACTCTCCATTGTGTCAGGAGAAAGGTCACTCTATCCAGTCCTTTGTGTCCTGTCTTAACGAGGTGAAGTCTTGGCTAATGGCCAACGTTCTACATCTGAATGAGGGAAAGACAGAGCTCAATTGTTTTTCACCCCAACAGCAGGAATGTGGGTCGTTATGTTGATCTTGGCCCTCTTTCTCCCTACTCAAAACCAGTTGTTACCAGTTTGGGGGTGAAACTTGATGCTGGACTTAAATTTGATGCTCACATCAATTCTGTGATCCGGTCCAGTTTCTTTCACCTGAGACGCCTTGCAAAAATCAAGCATATGCTGTCAAGAGCCCACCTGGAGCGGGTACTGCATGCCTTTGTTATTTCTAGGCTTGATTACTGCAACTCTCTCTATGCAGGGTTGTGTCAGTCATCACTGTGTCGCCTACAGGTTGTGCAGAACAGCGCAGCCAGGTTCCTGACTGGGACCAGGAAACGGGACCACATCAGTCCGGTTCTGGCCTCCCTGCACTGGCTTCCGGTTTATCGTTCACACTTTAAACTCCTCGTCTTTGTTTATAATTTCTTCCAGGGTGGTGGTCCCCCCTATCTGGCCACACTCCTGAACAGACATTCCCATCACGCGCTCTGCGCTCCTCTGACCAAGGCCTGCTCGCTGTCCCTCGTTCTAGGT